AAGTAGCATCATCACGCAGTGCCAGCTGCACCTCACACTCAAAGTGGTCATCACAGTCGTGATTGGGGGGTTCACAGTCACGCAGGACCGGCAGGCTGCGAGCCGCGATACTGGCCTCTTTCTTGTTTCGAACTCTTGCCTAAGGCCGATAATTACCGCTGTTAATGACGACGTAAGATGTTTGACTTTTCGTTGCCAGTCGTTAAGGCGAGGCTGATGGCTACCATGTCACCATCGATTGCGTGATTTCGGTTGAGTGCGTGTCTGGATACTTGAGGGTGCTGGTTTCGCTGTTTGAGGCTCATGGAACCCCATGCTTTCTCATCATCAGCTTGATGAATGCGGCTCACGGCATTTCGTTTCCATCTCTCTTCAACAGGCGTACCCAAATGTTACTAAAAAGGTGAGATTCACCACCGTTTAGCCTGACCGACTAGGCGAGACATCAAGGTACCGTGACATGGTAGCAAGCACTCAAGGCGTGTAGGCTTAAACCATCGCAAGACAGCAAGGTATATATGATTTCATCAAAAAAGCTCTGCAATCTATGCTAATATGTAAGGCAAGGTATGGATCGCTCAACCTCCAAAAAACGATGCTACGACTTTCGTCCCGCTCAAAGATAATGGATGGTATATATCCCTCCCGAGTGTTTTGCGCCGAAACCGAGTGAATCGCGTTGGGTTCCCCTTCTCGCATCATCGATCCCGAGCAAAAAGTAAAACAAAAATTCCGAAATATCATCAATATGAGGTCGTGGACGGCGGCCATCACTCTCTTTCCAACTTTCTGACATAGCCTTCGCGAGGCCCGCCGCCCATCAACCAGTGGTATCCTGCAGATCATGATGCAATCCCAAAATCCTCCAAAAGAAAAGCTCCGTTCTCGTGGATGGCATCTCCCGCTTGAGCGAGTCTTCGTCTCTTCATGTTGTCATTATTCTCCCCTTTACAGCTTTAGCGATGGTCCATTTATCGCCGCTGCAGTCTACACTCTTCATTCGGCCAAGCCTGCCATACCCGACGTCGGGGCGAATGTCTCGTACATCTCGTCATCGCTGCTGTCCACACTGAGGGGGCTCTGAGCATTGCTCACATCGGCGCTTGGCAGTCCGCTAAATCCTCCTAGACTCATCGTTGCTGGCGCGCTCTGTCCAAGAGAAAGCAAGCCATTGTTAGCAAAGCTGCTACTAATGCTTCCAAGTCCGATATCCACCACACTTCCGCTGCGGCTCATTGAAGGCTTCTCAGGAAGTTTCTTGAGCAGGCCTGTCGAGATATCGAGCATCGTCATGGCAAACATGGTGAGACCTTTGCCTTCGCCAGGCTTCGAGCTCACGGATAGCGTCCAGCGGTATTCGCCCAAGCGCCTACGGTACCAATCGGCTTCCTCTCGTCCTGGGGATGTCGCCCACAGAAGCGAACCAAATGTGCCGATGAGGGCAAAGTTGGTCTTGGACGCAAAGTACCAGAAGGAGCGAAGGTGCGAGGTGTTCAAACGGTTGACAAAATCCATTGCGGAAATAAGACGAGCCTTGGCCGCGCTTCGGCAAATGTGCTGAACATAGGAATCGACAGCCGACCCGGTGGCTTCGAGCGAACGAATGATACGGCGATGCAGTGTGATTTCGGCGGCGAAGTAAGCAAGGTGAAGATATCCGATGCTTGACAAACGACCTGGCGGGGCAGAGATTGACGAATACGTGCTGTCCATGCGAATGGCCGCTGGCAAACTGGCATACCATTCCTTGAGCTTCAGTTGTATGGGCTTCGCCATGCCCAAAACCAGATGCGTGCCTTGTCCACCGGCGTTGGTGACGTTTTGCATGGCCTGCAATGAGTAGAAGGTATCGAGAATCTCGGCAAGAATCTGCGACAATTGTACCATTTGACCAAACAGTGTACGACCGCGTTCGATATCCAATTTCTCCTCCACGTCCTTCTCGTCCCACTCGACATCGGGAAAGTCATGGTCCGTAAGCGGTTGGACACCCCAGTTGGTGGAGAAAATGTGCGAAGGCCGCCCATGAACGAGCGAACCCCATTTGTCCTGCATATACAAAGCCCAGGCGAGGCGTTTCCGCAATCCCTTCTCCCAAGGTGGGATTTTCCAGTGCGTACAGTCGAGGTGAAGGCCAAGTTCCTGGGCGGTGGCGACGAGCTGAGCAGTTGGAGCCCACTGGTCGCCTTCGGGTCGCTGGGAGAGAAGGAGACCGGCCTGGATGGTCGACAATTTCGGGCGATAAATTGCGTCGGCAAGAGTTGTCCGGATCATCCGCTCGAGGTTGGGAATGTTGGGTCGAGGGACTTGCGCGAGCTCTTCATCGTGCTCCCACCAGTTGATGGCAAACAGGTAAACAGCAGCTAGTAGACAAGGCGAAAATTCGCGGTAACTGCGCTCGTACTTTTCAAGGAAGACGGTCTTCTGAATAATCGGGAAGGCGGGGTGAACGATGCGGAAGTACAAGTCTACTAGTTTGCGACCATGTGGCCGCACGAGACCCTCAATCTCCTCGATATCCTCGAGGATATGCTCGTGGCCGGGGGTGTTGGAATCTGGTAGTAGCAGGAACGTGTCATCGTCACTGACCTTGCGCAGAGTGCCGCGCGCCAGTAGACTCTCATCTTGAGGGTTAAATGGTGACAGGTTGATGAGAGAAGGCTCGAAGTCGGTCGTCGGGCCTATGTACTGGCTGTAGCGATCATTTTGGAGACCCAGCGTCCGCTTGAGCAGAGTCGGGCCTCCGACATTCGCCATGTCTTCAAGAAAAGAGCTGCTTCCCGTGGTGCTGGAGAGGCTTGGTTGATGTTGCCTTCGCCTTCTGATATCGGCTCTAGCTGGTGAACTAATGGACCAATCACGTGTCAGAGATTAAGGTTCGTTATCAGACGTGCCCCCCTGACCGCGGCGTGCCCCCATGGCTGCCCAAGAAACATCAAACGGGCGCAAAATGCAAGCTCAAGCGGAAGCGAGCCAGGCTGGCGGGGAGGGAGCAGTAGGGGGACGGACTCGCCAATGTGGTTGAGGAGGGAGGAGGGGGAAATAGGCGGGGAGTAGTAGCAATGTGAGAGTGAGTATTGGTAGGAGAGGGGAGTGAGAATGAAAGCATGAGAAGAGGGGAAAATTGAGCAGACCGACCTTCTTTTACCACTGTCGTCAAAGTCACCGTTCAGCTTGCGTTTCCTTGGCTGGGGACTGTTGAGCAAGGAACAATCGGATCCGCTAGCCTGGCAAGGTATGCAGCTATCTTCGTCTTCGCTCACGATACACTTGACCCTAGATCGTTGGCAGGATTCGCATGGGCTGAGTGAACGTGTGGTATATGAGCCAACAGACTCTGCGATTTCCCGTCCAGGCATGCTGCCGCCGCGGAAAAGTTCGAGGTTCGTGAATGCCTCTTGCAGATAAGAGTTCTGGCGGCGGGGAGGTTTTGGTGCAATGGCGATGGGAGCCGTCCTGGTGACGGCACTTGGGTTGGACATGATGGATAGGTAATGCGCGGCAGTAGAGACAATGCTATGTATATACAGGCAGGGCTGGGCCGACGCAGGGGAAGCAGACGGGCGGACGGACCCGGTTCGTCAAGTCGGGGTCCCGGGGCCCTTGTCTGGAGATTGGGGGAATGAAGCGGGCGTGAATTTACTCCCTAGGGTTAACCGGAGATATGACAACGGTGATAGGACGATAGGCTTCGTCAAAGGCCAAGGAAGCAGACGGGAGAGGCTGGCACACACTCCCCGGGATGGAAGCTGGTTCAAAGGAGCCCCACGGCGTGCAGCAGATGGGATGGGATGCGAAGCAAGTGATGCAATGTCGCTCGTTGGCTTGATCCCGGTGCTGGTCCTAGGTCTGGGCCGCCACTCGAGATCGACGGCAGAGGAATAAGAATATCTGTGGTCGAGTTGACGTGAGATTTGAGAATTGTGTGCGTAGCACCAATGCAGGATCCGCCAAATGAGATTGGCTGGCGAGCGGTAATTCGATCTTGATGAATTCCTATGGGTGAGCCTGTGTTGTAACACGAAACAGCAGACGGGCCACCACAGGGACTGGACTGATAACGCTACGGTGCGCCGAGGCCGGTTGAGATAAGACGGGCTTGTTGGAACCCTGGGAGGCGGCAGCGGGCAAAGATGATCAGGTACACCAGCAGACGGCCAACGGCCGGTAGCGATTGCGAAGTTTGGCGTGAGATGAACGGGGCCCAGAATGCTTCAAGGCTAGACGAGGTGGAACAAAGACACGAGAAGATTGTGTTTCCAAGAGCTACCTAGCAAGAGGCTGATAGGTATCCGTCCGAGTAGTGAGGCGCGTTGTGTCGCGTGCGTGCGAGGGGTACAAGATAAGGCGACAACGGGAATTGGGAACGGGATACTCTGTAAAAGGTAGGCGTTCCAAGTTCCAGAGACTCGAGAAGAGGTACTTCTCTAGGTATGTGTTGAGTTTGAGTGGTTCCTCGTCAAGATCTGGGGTGGGATGTAGAAAGTCCGAGGGGGCGCGGTGCGGTCGCGGCTTCAAGTTTCTTTGGGGAAAGGCAAAGATAAGGTAGCGTGCGCCGCAGGACAGGAGTGGCCAAGGCGGAACGATTTGCGCCCGTTTTTGGTGATGGAATTGTAATGGTGGTTGTACTTTTTTGGGGGGTGCGGTGCGGATGCAGGGCCGGAATTGGGGCCCGGGACTGGGAAGTAATCCAAACTTGGGATTGGATGGGTTGGATGAATGGGGTTTTGATGGATCGATATCGGTGGACTCTCAAGTGACGATGGCGGCAAGGATGAGATAAGCCTTGCTTATCGGTGTCATTGGGTCCCAGAGGCGGAGGAGAAAAGTATATGTAAGAGAGAAATGTCCAATGTCTCTAATGGCGCTTCAAGTATCCATTAATGGATGTGCCGGTGCACCAGGACGTCCTTGATCTTGGATCTTCGTTCTTATCCCTGGGTTCCTTGGAGAGCGTCCAGTTTGGGGGTTGGCCGTTTTTGTTGGAGACGGAGAAATAATTAAATTTTATGGGGATTGGGTGGCGAGAACGATGGATGGATGGGGTGAGCAGATGAGGAGGAGGATAGAAGAGGAGAGGGAGGGAGGGAGAGAGTAGGAAGAGGGTAAAGAAGAGAGGGAAAAGAGAGAGTAAGAGAGAAGGAGAAGGAAAAGAAAAAGCCAAGGTCGTTAAGGTAAAGAGCACACCTACTCCAGTCCAGTACTCCGTAAGGTAAAGAAAGGTAAGGTATGGATGGATGGATGGATGCGCAAGGGGAAAGAGAGAAAAACCACAGTAAGAAGAAGGAGGAACCTGACAAGATGGGATTTGCAAGCTCCTTCTCCTTCTCTCTTTCTCCTCCCACCTTTACGAATACTCAATCTATTACCGGCCCAACCACGTAAAAAATGAATAACAGAATGTAGGTGAGAGAGATATGGTACCCAAACACTGACACGCCCAGGGGACTTCAAATGCCGGGTGAAGGTTTTTTTTTTTTTTTCTTCTTGCTGTTCTTTTTTTACACTGCCGCTGCCCCTCGTACAGTGGTTCACTTTTTTCGATCAATCTTTGATCGACAGTGTTGCGGTTCCTCTAAACCCGCAAGGACAGACAGAGAGAGACATACTAAAACAGAACGCCGCTTGACACAGGATCTGCCGTGAGAGAGGAGCACAGTCAGGATTGGATGGGGCTCCAACCAGGAAAGGTCAAAGTTCCTGACCGCCGGCGGCCTACTGCAAAGATGTCAGGCAGGCCCGGCCAAAGTCTCTTACTCTACCCCTTCACTATGAATGGCACGTCTCGCGTCGGTGGAGGAAGAAGCAGGAGGGTGTATTGGAAGAGGAGGCGCGGCAGTATCTGACTGGCCGGCGGGCGTTGGTCTCAATGGTCCGACTGACGGACCAAGCGGCCGAAAAAGACATCGAGAAAGAATGGTCCAAACCTTGGTTTGATGGAGTATGGGGATCAAGATGGAGACAAGAGCATGGGCAAGGACATGTCGACTGAGATGGGACGGGACGGGATGGCATGGGATGGAATGGGACGGACACCCTCCTGGCGTCCCTTTTGCCTCTAACTCTCTTACCGCACCGCAGTGCAGTCTTCTTCTGCAGCCTGGTGCCTGCCTTGCCCTCACCGACACGAAAAGATGTGCAAAGCGGCAGCTGCAAATGCAATACCTGAGGAGACAGGCATAGGCATGGCTTGGCATCAAAAAAAAAAAAAAAGTCTCAATGAGACGAGCAGGAGAGAGAGCGAGAGACTTTGTCCGTGTCAGTGAAAAAATGACATGGGGAACTCCCGGCTAACGAACCAAAGTCAAGAAACAGGGCAAAAGGGAAAAAACATAAAGAGAACAGGGTAGGTAGGCCCGGGGCTGTGCTTTTCTAACATCCACGCCCAAGATACGCGGGGGGTGTAAGTGTCGGATCGGTTGTTGAACAAAGCCAAGCCAGAGACCACCCAATTACGGAGGAATGAATTACCTTGCGGCTCGCCAGGAATCGAACGACGAGGCGCGCGTCGATGCGGCGGTCGATAGTAAGGTAGACAAGAGGGCGCAAAAGGTAAGAAAGTGTGGTAAGAGAAATAGACGTCGGGTGAACAATAAGAAAGTGACCAAGTGATCTATCGCTCAAAGACGAGACCAGGGTACGGTGAAGCACTTGGAGACGTCAAGGCATGTTAGCCGAGCAGGTCTAGCCTCTACGCAGTAGGTCTAGGTGACATATTGAACGTTTGATAGCGATTACGTCGTACCAGGAGCATCAGCACTCCGTAGAGGCCACCGGGGATTTGAATGGTAGCAGGGAAGTGTGCTTGAAGGAAGGCGCGAGGCTAAAAAGGCCGCCAGGGCCGTTTTCGTTGCATTCCGCGTGAAAAGAAGAAAGGTGAACAATGGAGAATAGGTATGGAGGACTCTCCGACTCACAAACTTTGGTCATGGTGACTTTGGTGATGGTCACAGCCTGGTGGCCGGATTGGAACTTTGAAGGAGAATTCTCCACAAAAGCACATGGCAAAGCGTGCGACTTGTCGACCCTTCGGCCCTGTCTGGCACGATGACTGGGTCGTCGTTGCTGGGAATGGCATGGGGGAAGGGAAGTGATGGTGTCGATGGAGGGACGGAAAGATAAAGCACGAGACATTTGGGAGGGGAGATGGGCGCCGCCTTATCTCTGTCCATTCCGGGGCAGGCGTTCTAGAAAGATGCTACGAGACAGAAATACATAATGGCAAATGGGCAAATCACGGCTCATATATTTCATCTTGTCTTTTGGGGCCCTTGGGGTTTCCTCAAGCTTCAGCTCCATAGTGTAACTCCGTCACTCCGTCACTCCGTACCCGTGCCTACATTGCAAGGTTGGAGGGTACATGCTTCCCAAGACTCCGTAAGGTACCTAAAGTATGGAAGGTAAGGAACTCCAAGGACTCCAAGGTGGTGGTTGCTGCACGATCCGAGTCGGCGGTACTCGGGCGGAACATGGGGCCCCACCATTGACTACTGCCATTCTGCAGCTCACTCGCCGCTTCTTGCCTCGACCGGCGCTTGTAGCGCAGACGTACATTCCTTCCTGCGTAGACCTGGAGACTGGAGTGAAGTGCCCTAGGCGTGGTGCCCCACCCCTTTAGCGAAGTGGCTCCCATTACCTTATAGAAAGTCCGGTACCGCCCGTTTCGGGTCTAGCGCGGCAATACCCATAACGTAATTCTCGAATATTGCCGAGTCAGAACTCGACGACCAAGGTCTCTTTGGCCCATCGTCCCAACTTCAACCTCCTCTTCAACCGGCATCTCGCGCAAGCAACGCCCATTCACCACCTAGCTATGCGGCACCGCAGTACTTCCTACACCTGCACGGCGCTGACCGCAGCCAAATGTCGAGTCGCAAGCAGCCCGGCTGCACGCAACTGCACAACCAGCAACACCTCAGGAGACCCGCTGCTCTATCTGGAAGAGGGATAAACCTGCGACGCAACATCTACCAGGGGACCACCATCAACAGCATCATCCCTCATCCTAGAATCCGGAAGCTGCTAAGATATGCAGCCCATCATCAAGTTTGAGCGGGCAAAGAAGCGGATTCACCTCCTCCCGCTTTGCTCTCCCACTCACCACCAGGTCATTGTTAGCCTGCCGTTGTTCGGAACCATCAAGTCAAGCCACCACGCCAGCCATCAAGCGGACCAGCCCATGCCATGACACGGATCCAAATCATTACCTACAACTCAACCCACGGCCAAGGGATCGATCGTCCAACGATGACACAAATCACGGGCTGTCGTGTGCCGCCCCGAATCACCGCCGTTCCGCCGTTGCGCTTCAGGGTCCTTTCAACCCATCCCGCCCCTGTCATGTCACGCTTTCCCCGTTGGGACTCTTTGTCACTGGCTCCATCGTTTTCAATCTCCATGCCGCCGGTCTAGACGACGTCTCCTCCCTCCGGCATGCTAGGTAGGAGGAGTCGATGCGAAAGACCATCCGCGCCTGTTCCGGTCACGCCCGATGAGCAAGGGACCTTGCCAGTCCCTGAACCTGAAGTGCGCCTTCTACTGTTATGTCACGGCCCCAATTTCCAAACCGGCATCGAAGAACTTGGATACTCTAACCAAAGACCTCACAACTCACCACTCTTCAAATAAGCCAAAGTCCAGATCTGGTGGACCGTGGACCAGCCTCAGTTCCTGGTAACGCGGGGTTGCGGGGCAATTGGCCTCCTGCGAATCATCGTCCCTGTTTCGCTGCTCATCATACCAACCATGCCAATCTCAAATGGACGTCGATTTATCCCACCCTCGGCACGAAAGAAACCGCCATTTGAGGAATCAGGGCCAGAGAAAAACTCACACACCACCACGACCGAATATCATCTTGGCCCAACCCACAGCATGTGTTCTACGGTCATCTTACCGCCGCCAGCAGTCGGCCAAACTGACACCTCCAAACAACTCGCTACTTGAGAGGACACCTTTAACCGCCATCCCCTGCCCGTCAAAAGTCGAAATGCCACGTCGGTTCACCTGCCGAAAAAGGCCCCCAAAGGCTCTCGTGCTCTACCATCTTCTGACGTTCTTCGACAAATGACCTTGAAACTCAACAACTTAATTGACTCTTCTTCCCGTCTTCTCCTGCGGGAGACCCCCACAAATCCCTGCATGTCACGCCTTCCGACCGCCTCGCCTCAACAATCAGCAAGCCATAAACCTTCCCGAGAGACACATCCCTCGTGGGGGGGGGGGGGGGGGGGGTGCCTTATGTCTTTGCACCACTGTTAGACCACACGGAGCACCCCCCCCCCCCCTCACACCACACGGGGTCATACAATACCACACACACCACTCACACACCGAGACTGACGTGGGGGGGGGGGGGGGGGGGGGGGGGTAACTTCATGTGTTGTGCGACATCGTGAACGCACACAGGTACCACTCACACAGCCTTAACCTAACAGGGGTTCATATAATCGCCCAGCTACTACTTACGTCATTGAGTTCCTATTCCCGCTAGTTTCACGATGCCAGCCCGGCGGCTCTATCGCTAGCGTTTCCGGTGGCCGTCGGCTCCGACCAGGTATAAATTGAATCGACGACTGCCTATTCGACCCAAGTGGCGAATCTTGCCCGGTGAAGATATACCCGAAGTCTGTATTTCGGTCCGAGGCCATGATGGAACAGTGACACACCTCCACGTCCGCAACGGCTCAATTGCATGTGAAACGGCGTTTATGATATATGTGTACCTTATTCTCGTGGTTTCTCCGCGATCCTCACGACCTGCTGCATTCATAGACCCCACATTCTTCACGTGCTATGAGCCGAAATGTCCTATTACCCCGCGGAGACGAAAACGCAAAGTTGCGGTAGTTCTGTCACTAGAAGTCTACAGGTTTCCATACACAGTCTTTTCGAAACAAAAATGCTGCATCGACCGATTGAAAGAGGATGTCACGCCTTGGTGTTTGCAAGCGCCGGACGAGGCAATGGCGGCAAACTGAACGAGTTTCACCGCTCTCCCAAAAAGCACCAAAGCCGAACCAAACCGGTCAACCGCAACATTCGAGACAGCATGCGTCTAGTTCAACTTGGGAATTCGATTGGTCATTGATTCCTGTGATGCGACGAAGGCAGACTGGGCATAGTTGACCGACTCTGCTCTGCCTCGAATGGTCTAGAGCTGTATCGCCCGGCCACTGCAGAAGAGAGTGTGGCTCTGGGTGTTGATTGACGGTTTCCCGCCCTCCGCCCTCCACTTTCCGACATCATACTGTGATGGCATACTTGCTGATCATTATAGGTCAGAATGTCGCGGCCCGACGATCTCGAACCGATGGGAATAGTCTTGGGTACGGATGTTGGACCGTCTTTCCTACAACTCAGTATGTCGGTTCGACACTTTACGTTTCTCATGGATTTATCCGTTCTTTGCACCGAATGCACTCGCCAGATCATCGCGGTGTAGACACACAAGGCCAGTCGTACTTACTGGTCTTGCACGAGTCTTGCGTATTCTCAAGTATCATGAGGGTCTCCTCGTAGATCTTCGCTCCTTCCGCCGACGGAGCTCCGCCTGGGAGACTCATGTGAAACCCTCCCATCGTTACAAACCCCAACTTTCCATAAAACGGCACAGCGTCCGTCGTGCTTTCAAGGAATACCGGGAGCCCCTCAGCTCTGGCGGCCTCCGTAGCGGCATGTATCAGAGCTTTCCCCGCGCCGCGGCCTCGGAAGCGGTAGTCAGTGCACAAGAACGTCAAATAAAGAGCCGGGCATCTCCGCCGGGCCCGGGTCCGCCGCCGTCGGTGGTGTCCGGTGCCGGCGGAGAGAGAACGCCCATGAGATGTCAGCAACTAGAAGATTTGGGGCTTTGAACGTTCAACGCCAACGTCGTTGGCAAAGTGGACACGGGTAACAGGTGTAACGTGGGAACCGCGATGGGAATCAAAGGGAAAACTGTGGTTCCCGCTGCGGCGCTGTCCCCGCCGTTCCGTAGAGAGATGTCACCGAAATGACATTCTGGAATTCGACAAAAGGCGATGCCGAGGGAGGAGGAAACCCGCCGAGAACTGTCTGGGATCAGCGTTTCTGGGGGGGGGGGAGCACCCCCGGGGAGGAGAGAGACTCCGAGTCTTTGAGGGTCTTCGCTATCTGATGCGTTTCCCCACCGGGCCAAACCCCCCACCGGGCAAACACCGACCTCGGAGCCGACTCTAACAGCGCCAGCCAGGAAATGTGAGGTTTGCGGATAAGGGAAATACGGCACCGGCGCAGCTGACATAGTCGGCGGAAAGCCGGGGACAGGCAACTGGGATGGGGGAAACTGCCGATACAGGTAGGTGGATGAGGAATTGACCACACCCCCCTCGCGCGACATGTCCCGAAAATTTCACGTAATGGGAAATACCGGGATGGTGGAGTGGTTGAAGAAGATGTTGGGCTAAGAACGGCGGTTGAATCATGAATGGAGCGGCAGAAGGGAATGGGGGGGGGGGGACAAAAAATAACAACAACCAAATTGTCAGAGAAAAAGAAAGGACCGAAAGGCAAGAGTGGACGAGTAATAATAAACAAGATATTTGAAAGGTGTAGGGCACTCACGGAGAAAAGGCCGGGAGCCCATGGCTACCCGACGTGCTTTTGATGCGGCGGTCGCGTAGGCGGTGAGGTATTCTCGGTTCGCTGAAGCGGGCCACTCTTCGTCTTCGCTTTCGTCGTTGTCGCTGTTCTTGTGGTTGGAGTCCTCCACTGTTGCCCCTACTATGGTTCCTTCTCCGACCTCCGCTTTCGATTGTTGATGGTGTTGTTGGTTCCGAGGAAGTTGTTCTTTACTCCCGTCATCCACCACGCCCGCCTCCGCCGTTGTTGGCAGTATATTGCCCGGCTCTAAGCGTCGTGAGCCGCTGGCGGATGCGGTGGGGGTTTCAATGACATGGCTTCGACTTCCACCTTGACCTCGGCGTCGGACGACGTCCCATTTCACGAAGGCGATGACACGTTCACCGTTCCCGGTGGCGGTAGCATCATCGTCCTCGGCGTCGGCGTCGGCATCCGCCTCATCCACTACGTCGGGGTCGGAGCTGACGCGCGCCACGAGGATCCGCGGCGTGTCGTGGTCACGGAGGTGATGCAGGGCGTCTTTCACGAGGTGGTCGTGAGGGTCGGCGAGGGAGGCGGACGTGGGGAATTGCAGCGGGAGTAAGGTGTTGGAGGACATTGATGAGATGTGGATGGGGGCGATTTGAGGGGTTTCGGAGGGTGTTGGGGGGCAGATCGTGAGGGTTGTCATCGTTGATGAGTTGGAGTTTGTGGGTTTATGAGTCTTGGCTGGTGTGGTGTAAGTTGTGTGAGGCGTTGGTGAGTTGGTTTAAGTCGAGTATAAGCTGAGAGTGAGGTGGGTGAAGGTTGAGTAGTACGGTAGGTGTGTAAGATTTGGGAGTGAGTGGTGATCATGGTTGGTTTGCGGTTATGTGATTTGTTTGTGCCCGTGTGCTATGGAGGTTGCTACGAGTGCTATACGCAAGGTAGGGTTTCTTGAGATATATAGCTTCATTGTGCTTGGAGATATATTGCAAGAACGAGTTAGGACTGTATGAAGAATGAGGCGAGGCTGAACCTGTGAAAGGCTTGGAAGGAGGGTATGCCATCGACTTGTGTTGTCTGGCTGGTAGTTATATGGCTTACTGGCTCTCCTGTCTTGAGTGCTTGCCTTTCCACCTCATCTTGCTCTCTGATATGCTGTGCCTTTTACCCCTCAAAGGCCCTCTTCAAAATATGTGAGTTTATGCTAGGAGTTATGAGTGTTGAGAAGTATGAGGACTCACTTGATGTGTTTTCACTACTTGAAGTTTACTATATGCTCCCTCGCACTGCGCCTCGTTGGCTGATATTGACAGTGGCGATGAATGGAGACAGTATCTTGCGAGTGTTGCTTCTTGTGCTCAATATCAGGCCAAGCAAAAATATCCAGATTCGAAAAGAAGTCCTGGATAAGTTTGTATGAAGTCCTGGCATTATGTCTAGAGATATTCGTAAGAGGTGGGCTTTTCTACGTATTCAGGTGCCCGGGATGAAGTGAACCATACATAACGTTCCGGCAAGATTTGGATCAGGTTTATGAGAAAAAGGGGGCAGAATCTTTTGAAGACACGTGAACGGGTGCCTCGAGTCAACTAGGTACGGCGTGGCATTCGATGCAAACGGTGGCCGAAGCGACGTTCGACGCCATAGGGGCATACATCCAAAGACGTAATAGTCCTTTACTCGAATGAAGACCAGCGTCACCTGCTTGCGACGAGAATAGCTGGCTTCCAGCAAGCTTCTGGGAATTGTGTATGGGAGGCTTGCCACTGTTGTCAATCCGGAAATCCTAAAGCGCCTCTTGGATGTTAAATGATCTTAGTTGTCAACACTCCAGCTACCTGAGCAAGTCGTTTGACAATCGACCCACTGATGAAATATCCTTTCGCGGGAAACCATGTGTAGATTCGAAGCTGCCATATTTTCCTCAGTTCCCAAGCGTCGTCCATCTCTGGGCGTGAAGTTTAAAACTGATTATTGGACTTACTCCCAAGCCGGCTGGCATCCATATGAACCCACCAAAACTAGATTCGTAGTCTGGCGGCCTCAAGACCATCGTGAACGCGGCGCTATGTCTCCAAGGAATCCTATCATGTCCTTCAGCATATCCTTGGAATAGCAATGGTCTAGCCCATCGTAGGTCTTGAAGTCGACCTCATAGCCCATCGCTCGCAAAACCCTCGCCGCCTCCTGACCGTAGCGTACTGGGACATTATCATCCACGGTCCCATGCCCGAGAAACACAGGTGTCTCCAGGAATGATGGACGCGTCGCTAGCTCCGCTACCGTGATGTCAATCTCGTCCCCCAGAATACGCAATGCTCGTTCCACCGGATCGTGTTCAGACCGATTACCCTCCCGGCTAGTAGTCGAATCGCCATCAGAGTGCTCAAAGGGATCGTCATCAGAGCCTTCCGGCGCCTCATCGTACCGTCCACCCAGTCGATAATCTCCTTCCGCCATGGCCTCGGCCATCACGTCAGCCATGGGCAACATCCCACACATACCCAGTATACCGCCGAGTGGCGTCCCCCGCCACAACAACAGGCAAACAAGCGCCGCAGCACAGCCTTGACTGAAGCCGCCGAGCACTAACTTATCCGTCCCGCCCAGCCGAATGGCTTCATCTTCCAATAGAGAATGTATGAATAGAACTGTTTCCTTTGCGTGGCCCAGTCGTGTATCCTCCCAGTCGCCGCTCCCGTCGTACCATTGGTTGATAATGGCCCGTCTGTAAATGGTTGCCCGCGACCGCGGCGCAGTCGGGAAAACGAAGCGCGTGTGCGGTAGAAGATCTCGAAAAGTACAAGTGTTCAAGCCCGGTGATGTGGTTGAATTATTAAGTGGGACAGACAGAAGCTCCGGCGCAAATATTTTCGCACTGGAACCTCGGCCGTGTAGGAGGATGATGGTCTGCTGGTGCGGCTGCTTCAGCGGCGGTATGATCATGGGCGGAGGGAAGGTATGTAATGGCAATCGCGGCTCAGATCTGATGCCCAGAGTTTTCTCTGAGTCTACAGCCTCGGCCATTGGGTATGTGTTGACAGGTCAAGTTGTCTTGGGGTTGGGAGGTGAGGGAGGGGGGAAGAACGGGCGGGTTGAGATGACGTTCGGCGATGGGGCCGGAAAGTATCCACCATGACCGGAGTGCTTCCCGCGGCCGGCCGACGGGTGCGGCTTTGAGACGACGGAATCTGCCCAGTGATTGTATTCGATGGTATAGCAACCGCGCATTATCATTGCAAATGTTATTTTGTCCTTTCATCTAACGTAGACACACTTTAATTCTCGACGAAGCAGATGTGAAGGTTACGCCGGGACATTGGTTCCAAATGCATCGCCAACGTTTACAAAAATCAATCTTTAGGTCCGGGCAAAGTGACAGATATACCATAGCCTGGTGAAGGGATTTGAGGCATATACTAGTCTCTATCGTATCTCTATGCAATCCCGTCACGGTATACTCCCAACCACATTGATATTGGCCTTTTGAAGGTATCAAGAAGAACAACAACCAAGGCATGAAGGTATGCCTGACATGAATACGGCTTATGGTCGAAAGCCACGCTATTGGGGCAACCTAATCGAAGTCGTCATCCTTATTCCACCAAACAGGAACATATCTAGGTCGAGAAACAGTATCCCAGAGAAATGCTATCTCGATGAAGCCGCTGCGTTGCTAGACAAACGCCAAGCACCCTTATGAACTTGCAACTTATCGTGAGGCACCTTCGTTCTCGGAATTTTCAAGCAAGCAAGTTCTATCGAAGTTCACAGCTCCTCCTTAATGGGATTCGAGATCATCCCTCAGTTGCCGAGGGAGAGAGGGCACTCCACGGCACGTTTACCGACAATTCAGCTGGACGCAACAGCCTTGGGAGTGTCTTACATGGGCAAGCTGGCGCAACGGGCCTCATGATTGCGAAAAGCACAGCGCTGATAGTATTGGAAACGATGTTGTCTGAGGCAGAACTGATCTGTATACTTGTCAAAATGTAGGACATGGGTTCGGGCCCAGAGGGGATCTCGCCGGCGTAACCCATAACCTCAACAATGAAAATTGAAAACCACCATATCACGGCAGTATCATCCGAAAGAATAGGGCGTGGCCTGAGCCGAGACCCCATCTTTCTGTGTTCACCAAAAAGACTTTGATCTCGATCACCTGCGATTCTGAGCGACCCTCGGTGTCGTGATTCAATGATTCAAAGGCGAAGCAGACTGCACTGTGGTTTCCACATACTAAGTTCGATGCTTAGTGGATTCCGAACCCCAGTGCTTAGAAGTATACAGCAATCCAATTATATGCATCTTGTGTGCTGGCAGCTGTGCCGTCGTCCATGAATGGCCTCAAATCCTGGATGCTCCGTGTATAGGTGAGACGCATAGGCAGCCGCCGCTCAGCCAATAAAGAAGTGTCATTAATGAACCGAGTATCAGCCAGTGAGACGAGGCATACAGATATTGCTCCATGCACCGTCAGATCTATATCACGATAGCTAGCAACAGTCAGAACCTATAATGACAGGCACATCTTTAGCTCTCCCTCCCAGAAGCGGCACGGGAATCCTGTACGGTTTTGAGGGGTCAGAGTAAGCAAAGGAACAGCCATTCAATCCTCGCATACAGATGACTGCATTGTTCTAAATCTACGTTCTGACTGACGATTCTTTTTGATTGTTCGTTCGTGGGATTGCAATGAAGGATCGTAAGCCCAAGTAAGCACCTACAACTTTGGCTGGAATGAGTTATCTGCAGGAAAGCAACATCTGGCCGGACAACTGTGTGCAAGACCATTGGCTACCCATTCAAATTGAGCGGCACACGACCCGTGGTCCAGGGGTTCAGAGAGGGGAACGGTCGGAGACGCCGTGACTTCATGAGAAGTCGGGTCCGATGGAAACCTTGACCGCCGTTCTTTCTCCAGTCAAACCCTGGTTGGAGCGCGTAACGAGAATCAAAGTTCAAGAGTCATAAGGCTGAGTGAAAGGCCCAAGAATGCAGCTAGACGTCAGTGGACTTTTCAGTATGCGAACCTGGGGGGCAATTGACAGCGTCGTTCCCGCAGATAGACAACTTTTACGAGGTTTCGCTCGAGATTAGCGAAGGGGTGGCAGAAGCTCCATACCAGCATGGTACGCTTGATGAAGCACCTTTCCCTCTTCGGAGACGGGCGGGCAGCGGCGACAACTGTTACTGGGGGGGTGACTGTGGACGGGATGGGGCGGCGGGCTCGGGTTCTTCGTGGAGTTAAATTTAGAGATGCTACTGGCGCTAGTGGCGCGCTTTTAACTCGTTTCTTCAGGGGGCCGCCTGGGTGTTTCTTTGGGAATGTTGGCCCGTTGTGCCAGCCTGCCAGCCTTTGTTCCGGGATAATGGGTGCGATGGTTTAGGTCTGGAGGGGAGTTTATTTTGGTTACTTTTCGATGTCGGTAGTCGTAGAAGCTGGTTCTCGAGGCTTGTAGAGTTGGATCTTGCAGGATCGGCTTGAATATGTCATCGGATAAGGTACATGCGTGGCGAGGGGCTACTGGTCGTACAGAAGCGAGTTTGCAGTTGGAACCCGATCACTAACCTTCAACCCATCTGTTTCCGTCTGCTGTGTTACCCATCAATATACCTGACAGCATGGTCTGCAAGCCTTTGCTGCAAGCCCTGCGCCGCCTCCATGCACAATATGGAGAGGTATCAAACTGCACATAGCTCACCATGTCGATAAGCACACTTTCAAAGGCAAGCCCTAGATAGCCTCCACGGAGACCAGCATCACGAAAGTCTGGTAAGATAGTGGCCCAGTCGATACGAAGGAGAACGTAAAACAACGTGGGCCCAGTGACGTTTAGGACTCGAGATCAGCCTTCCTCGCTGCTCTCTGAGCAAGGGGAAGCCCGAGCTCCTTTCGATTCCATTAGCAGGCTGAAAAGGATTTACATCGATGATCGCATGTTGTTGTTATGTGGGTTCGGAGCAACAGAGTGGCCTACCGAAAGGGCTGAGATGCGGTTCAATGCCAGGTTGACGAGCAGAGACCACAGCCTATTGTCGATGTTTGCTCGCACAGCCACCGCCTGACAGCCTGGGAGGGCGGTTTGAGGCAACCCGGCCAACTGGATACGAGTGCCCACTGCCCTCGAAAGTAGGCCGCTGCACAGCGCGTAGAACGTGGAAGAGTCCAGGATACTCTGAGCCGCCGTTCCGTCGTCGGCTGCATACTGCCAGAACAAGCCGATCAGAGAACTCGAGGCTATGGAACGCTGCGGCGGCTGTGGCACGGAGCGGCCGTATCTTGCTTCTGTTTCTCTGCGGCAGCGCGCTTGCCTCGACTCATTGTCGCTTCCCTTCGGCCCAGTACCGAGGTGAAAGTTGAACAGTAAAGCCTTTTGCGTGACCAGGGTCGCCCGCTTCACCCTTCTTTCGTGTTGTGAAATGGCGCGTGATGAGCGGTAGCCCCGTGTTGGCCTTGGCCCCTGGCCGTACAGCGGAGAATTATGAAGATCTCTGGAGTTTTTTCGGGGCATCGGCACGCAGTCTGAACTTCTGAAGTGGCTAAGAGAAATTTGAATTTGCCCTGACCTCCGAGTAAGAGCACTCGCGCCGATGGTGGAGAGACAAGGGGGGAGCTATCAGTCGGCAAATGACAAGACACTGAGATCTCTGAAAGATGAAATGAGACTGAGAGTATCCGTATCGAACGGTTTGGTATTAGAAATGACGGTGGGAAAAGGGGCGGGCTGCACTGTGACTGGGCAAAGAAAGTCCTGTTCCCCCGGGCCGCCCTTTGTTTCGAACTGTCGGGCTGAACTTCTGAACTCAGTTCGGAGCTTCGCAAACCACAAGAAGAAGAATCAAGGGATTCCTGGAAGGATAACTCCTGTTTCAACCTCTGGACAGCAGGTTCCGGTTCGCGATAGGTCAGAATTGGCGATGTGGCTTGGTTCTTGGAGCGCTAGGATTATGGACTCTGTAAGATAAACGGGGCGCTGCAACATTTTGCTACTGGAGTTTGGAGATCGAGTGGTCGTGGTTGGCCGACGGTGGCCGCGGGGCTCGGTATATCTCAGGAGGTGGGATGAGGACTTTGTGACTCTCGAAGATTGATCATTGGTAGCCCCGAAATGAGCACGAAGGACAATCCAAGAATCCGGAGACGCGCTGGACCAAACAGATGGTTGCGAGTCTCGAAGCCGCCGAGAAAGCACATCTACTGCTGCATTGCCGGGCGCAGCTCTGCTTACTCCTACATTATGCGCGCGCACATGGCCTCAGAGCGAGTGTAGATGCAGGAATTTAGTGTGGCATACAGAGTCCGCGGGTTCTTCGCGAGCAAGGCATGCGAGCAGGAGATACCTAGACCCATGGAGTGCCAAGGTCTGACAATAACGTGTATGCTGCGGTGCTAAGTTAAGGTGCGCTAGGTTTTGGAGGAGGGGGATCTCCCACTGGACGAGCGAGAGTTTAGCCTCGCAGCGGGAAGCTCACGGCCAAACACGGCGCCATCGTCGGGCAACGGGGCCCCGAGATTATTCTTGTCTTGCTGTGGTAATGTTGTTGACCAGGGCAAGTCGGGTTGCTGAGTCGAGTCGAGCGCGGGGGTTCGATGGAAGTTGGAGACCGCCTGCCCGTCACTGAGAGAGTCAAAATTCAGAGAGAAGTCGACACGGACCGGCTCACGGATGTGCCGCAGGGATCACCGCTGCTTCACCTGCTGAGTTGTTGCAGGCACCGGCCATCAGGTGGACGTACGATGGCGGTAGGCTGCAGTGACTGTCCATTTGTGCCCCGGTGTCTGGGTCTTGGAGCCCCCTGCAGTGAACACAGACTGCAGTGCCCCTTATTTTGTCAGGCGAAGGAAGCATGAAATTGGTTGCGCTCTCGGCTTGGTACTCGATAAGACACGTCGATCAACGAGGTGAACCTGTTCGGCTTCCCTGGAAAAGCAAGGAAGCAACCCTTCTCGATCTTGGTTTAACAACAGCTTGTCGAACAACAGCGGCATAACTTCTTGTCTGCTAACGGACCCGGCGCCATGTGCCCTCTTGGAATGCTGGCGCAAGGGAACAAAGAAGGCGGGCGGCTGAGTGACAGCAGGAAGCTAAGGCAGGTTGGCTGACCCATCGCTGGACGTTGCCTCCAAGTCATCCCGAGGAATGATTCGCCTCGTGGTAGCAGCTCTTTGGAATGCACTGGAAACGGCCCGGTCGAGTCGAAGAAGCCGGCGGCAAACACAATGTGCAACGCAACGTCACTCATGGACGTGGTAGCGGTAGGCGAGGTGCTGAGCGTTGACTCTTGAGGCGAGTATGATGGAATCTGATCTGTCTGGCGGAATTCCGCGCGCTTCATCACGAAGCGTAGCGAGGTGTTTCTTCGTGTTCCATGTCAATCATTGCTGATCATCTGACGTCCCAAGTGGCCGTTGCCAGGAAATTATGCTTGATTGACCGTGGGCCATGGTCCGCAATGATGTATCCGTATGATGGACCGTATCCGTAGTGCCGTACGAGAGATATCCCTCGATGTCTCCATACAGTATACGTACATTTTGTACGTACTTCTTAGTCAGATTTGAGATGCGGTACGTGCCCAGATACATGCATGGTCCGTCGCTTCCATTGACCTGGGAGTGGCAGAGTGCCGTCCCAACTTCTCAAGTGGTGTGTGTGTCTCCTGTAGCCTGCTCATCCCTTAGGAATGGATGGCAGCTGCTCTTCGAATCCTTGGACGCATCTCTTTCCTCTCTTTCTACACTAAGATACCGTGCTCTTCCGACTTCCGTCAACTCTACCATGACCAAACTCCCGCTGGTTGGTGATGCCTTCCACCCGGAATAGACACTAGGAGTCAATTTCTCCCAGTCCCTCCTCCTCTGCCTTACGGAAAGGAGACCCCGGACGAAAAAAGAAAGCAGCGCCACCCCTCCAGCTGCCTTTCTTCTTTGGGCAAAGTCATTGATTCCTTCTTCTTTCATTGGGCCATCTATGCAAGTGCAAATTAACCCTTTGCTCGTGGGAGGGACTTTGGGAACAAGCAACAGCAGCTCACCGGCCTCCCCAGTACCAGTCCACCTTGACTTCTCACTTCCTGGATCTTCAGTCTTCAAACACTCGCTATTCTTCTCTCTGGTCATGTCGCCACTCACAAGTTGCAAGTCTCCATATGGTGCCTTCACCAGTTGACAGTTGTGCGTGCACACACACACACACACATCAACACACTCAAAGAAGTTGTCCTTTGACAACAACAGCGAACGGTCCCATAACCCCCAGTCACTCTGACCTTTCCTCCAAGAGCTAAGAGACCAGGGGTGTCGATGGTTCAGGCTCAAGAGTCAAGGCTTGGCCGATGACCACCCCCTCACCCCCTTCCCAGGACACTAGGCAAGTGCAGGGTCCTGAATAAGGTACGAGGTCGTATTGATTCGCCCAGCTCGTGGAGCGTGGGCCATGGCCCATGGAGACACATCCCACCCCCGTCCCGTCCAGCCCAGGGACCAAGTCACCAAGACAAGAGAGAACGAGCCATGGCGCGCCTTTGCCCTGGTCTGTCCATGGTCACCGGTGCTTACCTAGTGCTTGGGTACCACAGATACTTGGTCTTGGTACCTGTTGTTGGTGTGGTTGCTCATGTTCTGCCTAGTTGGCCCAGCTGGGCACTGCTGTGCCTCATCTCGTCGAGTCCAACTAATAAAACCATCCTCCCCGTTCGTGTGTTTCTACCCTTTTACCTCGTTCCTCACCTCTTCTGATTTTGCTTCCCCACGAGCTTCTACCTCTTGCCTTTTCTTAGCTTACCTGCCAGTCCCTCGTTAATCGGCATAGCTTTTCATTGTTTCCACACTATCACTCCTCCTCAAGCCACTTTCCAGCTTCCAGCTCCTTTAATACTTGTCAGCGGCCTCTGATAAATATCCCGTCACCTTCGAACCTTTTCTCATCAAACTCGCTACTCGCTTCTTCCTTCGATCGACGTATACGAATCACCGGCAAAATGCTCTCCAAGATCTTCTCCGCTGCCACCGTGGCTCTCGCCGCTTCCACCATGGTCTCTGCCCAGACCTTCACCACCTGCGATCCTACCAAGAAGGGTATGTTTTTTTTTTCGTCCCCGGTTTTCGTACCACCGTTTGGTCTTCTAGTGAAACAGCCTTGCTGACTGATCTTTAGATTGCCCTGCCGACCCTGCTCTGGGCAAGTCGGTCAGTATCGACTTCACCAAGGGCAACGATGATTCCGTCTTCCGCAAGCTCGACGGCACTGCCGTGAAGTTCGAGGATGGCGGTGCTCTGTTCGCCATCAACAAGGAGACCGATGCTCCCACCATGGCCTCCAAGAAGTACATCTTCTTCGGCAAGATTGACGTCGTCCTCAAGGCCTCTACCGGCCAGGGTGTTGTCACCTCCGTCGTTCTCCAGTCCGACGACCTCGACGAGATCGATTGGGAGTGGGTTGGCGGTGACAACGCACAGGTTCAGACCAACTACTTCGGCAAGGGTGACACCAGCACCTATGACCGTGGTGCCTACCACCCCGTCTCCAACCCCCTCAACGACTACCACACCTACACCATTGACTGGACCCAGGAGTCCGTCAAGTGGCTCATCGACGGTGCTCTGGTTCGTGAGCTGAAGTACGCCGACGCCAAGGGTGGCGCCATGTTCCCCCAGACTCCCATGGAGGTCAAGATCGGAACCTGGGTTGCCGGCCGCAAGGACGCCCCCAAGGGCACTGTCGAGTGGGCTGGTGGTTACACCGACTTCTCCAAGGCTCCCTACAACGCCTACTACAAGTCCATCACCATCACTGACTACCAGGGCAACAAGGGTGTCAAGGGCGCCAAGGAGTACGTCTATGGTGACCGCTCCGGCAGCTGGGAGTCCATCGTCGTCAAGACCGAGGGCGGCAGCGACGACAGCTCTTCCTCCGCCTCCAAGACTGCCACCAAGACCGACTCCAAGACCACCCTGAGCACCGTCACCGCCTCCGGCTCTGCTTCCGCCACCGCTTCCAGCGGAGCCTCTGCCACCGAGGACGCTGCCTCTACCGCCACTGGCTCCAGCTCCGGCTCCGGCTCTTCCAGCGCTTCTTCCACCGGCACCGCTGCCGGCGCCTCCAGCACCCCCTCTACCGTTGCCGCCAACTCCGGCTTCATGAACAAGGCCAACCTTGCTCTCGGTGCCGCCGGCCTCTTCTTCACCTTCCTGCTGTAAGCGGATCCACCGGAACTCTTGAACGACCGTACATGCGCATAAAGACAACCGAAAAAAATCATGCCGCCCGGAGAGCGGATTGTACAACTTCTTCACTTCCGATCACGATCCTTATCACGACTGAGTTACGCATGTTCCTTCATGGACCTAGCGCGCAGTTGGGGCCATACCTTGCGACATAATCTGGTACTTTTAATGATCACGCTCTCCCGCGGAATTCTGTCTCCAAGAATTGGAGGAAGCTTTTCTGCGACGGCCTTGCCAATGTTTCACGCGAGAGGAGGAAAGTCGAACAATGGGAATTGCATTTCAGATGGCGGATGCCTTTTTTTCTTGAAGCAGCTGGGTAGTGTTTGTGGAAGATGGACTATGATACCTTTAGAGAAGAGTTGAAGAGGACGCCTTGTGCCATTTCGCCGAGGTAGTTGAGACAGACGAAACGTTGACAATCAAAAACAATTCAGATTTGAATACTATTGCCAGGGCTTTTCGATTTGCGTGAATCTCACATCATCAAAACTTATACAAGGAGCTCAGGCTCGCATAACATCGTCGAACGTAGGTGCCTTGGTAGCGCGACTTGAGCAACCAAGAAAAAAAAAACACCGCGATTGCAATCTCGCCGTGTTTGAAGTTGAGCGACCCTAGCAGGGTCCCCCACCTGAATAAGAATTTTGACTCAAAGAGGAGAGGGGGGCCGGGGGAGGATGGATCCCAGAAATCGGATCCATTGCCACGCTCTACCTTATTCGGTACCTAATTTCCACCTGTGCACCGTGGCCGTCCTCACCAAGTAAGACCCAAGCAAGGAGACTTCGAGCGAGAGGCGTGAGAGGTCTCCTGTAATAAGGTACTAGAAAGTGTGGCAATGTGTGCCTGGGCACCGTCCGGTGCCGCACGGGTAGCCTAAAGTGTCTCTGCGCGTCTGATGTGATTCTAGCGTGACGGGCACCGTTGGAGCCAAGGAAAGGATTTTTGTTTTTCTTTTTGGGGGGATGGGATGAGGAGGAAGGGGGGGGAGGGGAGGAGGAGGAAAGGAAATGGGATAAGTACCGCGCAGCAGCGTCGAAGGATTTGGGTGCGTGAGACTCGCCCGAGTCTTGTTAATCAAACTTGCTTGGGCCCAAGGATCTTGGTAGGCGATCGTCTCTTGAGTCTAGTGTTTAATGTTATTGCGCATCGCCCTGCGGCACAATTGTCTCGATTCTGCCAATGATGTTTTTTGCTTGGCTGCTCGCCCGGTTTCAGTGGCTTTTCTTCTGATTGAAGTCCTGCGGGAATTGTAAGATCCGTAAGGTATCCTGACGCGCTGTGGGAGGCCACATTATGATATTTCCTTCTTCCGTCCACCGCTTGTTGTTGTGTCTATTGTGTATAGATACCATCGCAATGAGGCGCAATTATGAGTCGTCGGGCTCTCTGAGCAGGAGGCTAGTCGTTATTCACGATTTCGATACCAATATCATCGTAGCATGGCCCGGGTTGATGGATGACCTTTGCTGTATCCGTTCCTGTATGGCATGCCTACCACTTCACAGGCCTGGAGGACCGTGCCGTCCGAACCGCCCAATCAAGACAAAAGTTCCGTTTTGTCCGGGCCTAGAGGGGGGAAAGGGGCTGACGGTGACAGGCGGTGATTTGCTCCAGGGCCCTTGTTCCTCGGTACGTGTATTGACCAATTTTCTAATTGACTCGGCGAGAAGAGGCGGAAAGCGGCCCGGGGTCTCGTTCAATATTGAGCCGGGGGAGATACGGCGACGGTTGACCCGACAGGCGAGGGAGCGGAAGATGCCCGGACATGAAGGCTGAAAGTCGAGACCCTCATAGAAACCAAAGGTGCAACTATCTCCTGGGAAAATCAAAAGCGAAGCTATCGTGGGTAGCTTCCCTTTGTGGTGGGTGCATGTTCGTACCTAGTAATTTTGGTGACTGGGCAATGCGCTTCCCAGGATCGGTAAGAAAGTATCCAGATGCTTGCCTGCCTGGGCCAAGGGTTTGAGTTCTTTACCTGCGCTTTTATCCAGATTCGGTTGCCCCCGAGGTACTGAAATTATCAAGAGGGTTGCGAACAAGACGTAAGGAAGCGAGACAGTTCTCAACTCATTCCAAGATGGCATCGGCAGCTGGCTTTCATGAAATCGGGCCTGCCAGGCTTGATGAAGATGGCTTTGTGAAGGGACGGAAGGAAAGATTGAGCGTGCATGGCCCCGTTGGTGCCTTCCGGTCGGAGGCTTGGGTGGCTTCCTGCCCTTCGGAAGGCGGCAGGCACTCACTCCGCTTTGCCCGGCCCCTTACTCCGTTCCTGCTCCCGGAGCTTCAAAGACGGCCGGCGTTGTGGACGGGTTCGTCTCCGAGGCGGTGCCGTTTCATACCGTTTCAATTGGGGTATGTGTGTACATGAACTAAAAACGTGGGCATGGCAGCACGCAGGCTTTTCTGACATATGCAGGTACGGCGCACAATGATGTCGATATCGGGCTTGGCTAGCACCGGTCTGCCGTTGGAGGCAACATGTAGCTTGTAGCCGGCTCATCGGGTTTCGGTGGCAAAAAGAAGTTACTCGCGGGACCCTTCTCTTGGTCTTCGGGCGTGGCATTTCGGACCTGCCGCGCCGATCGGCCTCTGCCATGCGGATCTCGCATGGCTGCTGTTACTAGGAAATCAAGCAATGGCCGGCGCGGACGTCACCACCGACGATCGCGGCACCGGTCCCCTTCTGACGGGTTTGAGATGCACACAGGTAACACCCACCAGCGAACTGTGGCAAGGTGGAAGTCCTACGTCGTTTTCGTGATTTTTTCAAGCACATACTTGCGCGTGTCTTACTTCACGATTGTGCTATTCTGAGTTGAACATGTCTGTTATCCCCAGGAATGAAAACCATCTTCTCGGTGTGAAGCTCAGATGGCAATCGGTTTTCACCAGGCAAGGACGGGGAACGCGGGGGTGTTTCCGAGCACGTTCCGACATTCCGCATGGCGTGGATATGCGGTGATTGAATAAACCCTCACCAGCAAAACCCCCGTCCCCAGGGAGCGAACACAAACCCAGGGCGCTCGCATCTGGAACTCGGGATAAAGCATCTCGTATACTGCCCCTGCTTCGCTTCGGTATCTCCCCGAACGGGAGACGCGGGATCTGGCAGCGGCTCGGATATAGGGGGGGCTTTTCGGGCATCTGCATCGTCGTTTGTACAATCATCCGATTCCTGAAACTTTGGATCGGGCTCGGGGATTGTATGAATAGTTGGGGACTCAAAGGTGCAGGAAAGGTGCAGTGGGATCCCGGTGGTCGCCTTGGTAGACGGACATGCATGATGCGGCAAGGGCGGAACATAAGATAATCAAATCAAAAAGGGGGACTGTTATGAAAAGACATGACCAAAGGTACGGTGTGTTGCAGCCTTGAGCAGGATGCATGAAATCGGAGTCAAATTGTTTCCACATGCGTGTTTTGAGGTCTTTTTGGGGAATAGAAGTCTACGAGATAAGTCCGGCTGCGTACTAAGCAGAGTTCCATCCTGCGGCCTTGCCAGCTGTACGGATACGGAGCACGATTGCCTCTGTAATTCCGTGGCCCGGAAGGGACCCTTGCCGGGCCACGTTTACGGCATGTCTAGTGACGGGGCATATTCTACCGGTATCTGTCTTGTCGGTGAGGTAAAACTCTCCGTCCTCGCACCGGTAGTTGTCAGACTTTCAGCTATCATCTTATCTTCACAATGACAGCCAACTAGCGTGGCGATAGTAGAAAGATTGGCATTTAGAATTCCAAGCTACCTCATCGTCGGATGATCAATATCCTCCTGGGCAAAGATAAGAGGAAACTTGAAGATCCATTCACTTCACACAACAACAGCAGCAACAAAGTTGGACTGAACCGCGGCATCGGGCGGGTCATCGGTGACGTGCCGATGGCCCCTGCACGGCAGACTTTGTGATTTCTCCATAAAAATGTACGTTTTCTAGAAGCTTTGACAGAAGCAAATCGAGAACGGCGAAGGCCGGTCAACCGCCGCCCAACGGGAAGAATCCGCAGTTGACGTAAGGGCAAGGCTTTCGAAGGGGGCCACAAAATCTCTTCAAATTCCAAACTGGAGCTCAGTCATCAATGAGATCAATGAGATGAGGCTGAACGATTCATTCAATCGTGTTGGCTGCCAAGTTGGTTTCCCCAGTGGCCTTGGAAACAGGGGATGATCGACCCGGGATGGACTTGAATGGAGAACATGGTGAAGAAAACCTAGAAAAGCTTTTTTGTGCAAATCCCCTTTCAGAGTTGTCTCAAACACCAGAGAGACCTGGACTCCAATTTTTTTTATCGCTCTCTTCTCAGTCCCGCCCCTCAGTTGCGGTGTGAAGCCACCCAAGTGCCGGAAAATACTGGAGTCGATGACATCAAAACACAACCTACTCGGGAACGGCGGCCAAAAGAATCCCTGTACTCACTGCTGGATTGTGGACAACATGCCTTACTTCGTTATCCATTCGTTCTTTGAACAGGTAGCTCCCCATCTAGCCGCCGCATTTGCACGTCTCCAGCTCTTCGTGTGTCGACATGTTGAAGTTTCGAATAGCGGACAGAAAGAGCCCGAACCCCCACCCTTCTTCAACAGCAACATCTCGAGCTGTAAGGATTAAGGACGTGCCGGGTAAAGCTCAACCGCCATCTAAAGAGAGAGATACAGGATCTAGACGGAGATGCAGATAATGTGAGAAGCCGTTGGCTCTGTTGCCGTCATTCAATACCGTCCAATCCAAGCATCCATGGCCAGGGTCCCCCGGTGATTCTTGATAGTGTATTGTGTACCCGCGCAGATAGAAGGCAAAAGCACAACCTCCAAGATTTCTAAGCCAGATTTCCATAGTTGCCCACCTCGGCCGGCCCAAGGCCCCATATCGGCCCGGCGAATCATGACGACGCATATCGACCTTCTTTGACGTTCCGTGCTGGAAAGGTTCCGCACCACCACGGTTCCACCCCCCTTCCAAATTGTTCAAACGGCGTCTCTGCGTCTCTGCGCCTCTGTGCCTCTGGCCTTTCCTGCATCAACGGAGTCTCAGTCAACGGGGGGCCTTCTTCTCATTCCCCTTGGTCCTTGCTCCATCGATCTCGAACCGCGGCACTGAGCCGCACTTAGGCCCATCTAGTTTCCAATCTATTCCCACTTCGTTCCCGCTGTTTGACTCCACCCACGTTGCAGTTTTTTTCTCCTCTGCCCTCTAACACGTAGTACTCGCTGTATGTTTTTTTTGCGCAAAATTCGTTATCCAGGCTTTCCAGCTTCATGGTTCCTTGGACGACCGGCGGCGTTAGTCCCCTCTTTCGCCGATGAGTTTAGGACTTAAGTTGATTTGCAGGATGGGGAGCTAAAGGTTTAAAGAGGCGTGTCATTCCCGCCTTCCAACGATATCATGCTACTCTGTACACACAAGCTTTCTGTTCTCTTATACATCAGATCATCTCTTTTATAACAAAACAAGAAACAACCTTTCTCCAGATACCCCTTCTTCTTCCTATTTTCTAACTCGACACACATAAATCACAATGGCCGCTACCGACTACAAGTTTGAGGGCTGGGTTGGCCTCGACGAGAAGTCCTCCGAGGGCAACATGGTCTGGCAGGAGTACGAGCCCAAGCCGTGGGAGGAGAACGACGTCGACATCCAGATCACCCACTCCGGTGTCTGCGGCTCCGACATCCACGTCCTGCGCTCCGGCTGGGGCCCCGCCCCTTACCCCGTCTGCGTCGGCCACGAGATCGTCGGTGTCGCCGTCCGCGTCGGCTCCAAGGCCGTCGGCGGCATCAAGGTCGGCGACCGCGTCGGTGTCGGCGCCCAGTCCGACTCCTGCCTCGGCCGCCAGGGTCCCTGCGAGCCCTGCGAGACCAAGAACGAGCAGTACTGCCCCAAGTCCGTCCACACCTACGGTCACTTCCACTACAACGGCGGCAAGGCCATGGGCGGCCACTCAAAGTACCACCGCTGCCCCTCCCACTTCGTCGTCAAGATCCCCGACGGCCTCGAGTCCGCCTACGCCGCGCCCATGCTGTGCGGTGGTGTGACCGTCTTCTCCCCGCTTAAGCAGCACGGCGCCGGCCCCGGCAAGACCGTCGCCATCAACGGCGTCGGCGGCCTCGGCCACATGGCCATCATGCTCGCTAAGGCCATGGGCGCTGACAAGGTCGTCGGTATCTCCCGCAAGGGCGACAAGCGCGACGAGGTCCTCAAGATGGGCGCCGACGGCTACATCGCCACCAGCGAGGAGCCCGACTGGGCCAAGACCTACGCCAACTCCTTTGACATTGTCATCTCCACCGTCTCCTCCGCCAAGGTCCCCATGCAGGACTTCCTCAACCTCGTCAAGCTCGACGGCTCCCTCGTCCAGGTCGGTCTCCCCGACGACGGCGCCTACACAATCTCCCCCGTCCCCATGGTCATGCGCCGCGTCAAGTTCACCGGCTCCCTGATCGGATCCCCCCACGAGATCCGCGAGATGTGGGAGCTCGCCGCCGAGAAGGGCGTCAAGCCCTGGATCCAGGTCCGCCCCATGAGCGAGGCCAACCAGGCCATCGTCGACTTGGAGGAGGGCAAGGCCCGCTACCGCTACGTCCTCGAGAACTAAGCCGGAGGAGATTGTGTGTTTCGAAACATGATCAAACCGTTTTCTGGGGATGCTGTATATAAGATGAGGTTGATGACATGACTTGGGTGCATAGAAAGGGCATAGCGATTGGTTACATTATAGACATAGAGAGATAGACAAAATCTCAACTCAGAAGCTAGAAGCTTCGAATTTCTTATGATCTGGTTTACTCTTATCCGTGATTTTTCTACTTACAAAATGAGTCTGCCTCTAAAGGTAGCGTTCACTGGAAACTCCAAAATTGAAAAGGGTCCCTCGATTAGCTCCGTTGAGAGTAGCCCTTTGTAGATATTTCTGAAAGAAATCGAGATTTCCCGGTCTGTGAGCTTCGGTGTGGCTCCGGATGATGTCACTCCGCCTCGGTGAAGGGGTCACCTTACATCCTGGCATGTGGAGAAGTGACATGGTCCCCAAACAACGGCCATCTCAATTCAACTCGGAGCACTTACATCTCTCCGATCAAGTCAGACGGACTTTTCCCAACAGCGAGGCCATTGGATTTACAGTCCCCAGACTGCTGGATACAATGATTGGATGATTATATGCCCCTGCTGCTCTTGCTTATCCTCTTGCTTAGCCTCGGTGCCTAATGGCGAACGCCCTTACGGATAAGTAGGTAGGTTGCCTAAACGCACCGCGATATAAGCTGCCCCCAGACAGCATGACGAGAAAACCTCTCACGGGACTCGGTCATATCAGCTTGACTCTCAGGAGGCTATCTACATCCTCAAGCCTCAAATCACCTAGTTCGTAGCATCCGTTCAAAGCATTCAAATACACCTCACTAATCACTCCCCAATAAAGCCCTTTGCCGTCCAATCTCCTTAAAAGCCATGGCCCCCCATAACGACGTCGCCGCATTCCACGAGGCACTGGCCTCAAGCAAGCGTATCCTCGCCCTCTGCGGCGCCGGCCTCTCTGCCTCGTCCGGCCTGCCGACCTTCCGCGGCGCCGGAGGACTCTGGCGAAACCACGACGCCACGGACCTAGCGACTATGAAAGCCTTCCGCCGGGACCCGGGCCTGGTGTGGCTGTTCTACGCGTATCGGCGACACATGGCTCTATCAGCGAAGCCGAACAAGGCGCATTATGCCCTCGCCGCGCTGGCGGAAAAGAATCCGGATTTCTTGTGCCTGACGCAAAACGTTGACGGTGAGAACGACTCCAACATGTTCCCCTGCAAAGAATTAAAAGACAGCTAAGCGTTATTCTCAGGTCTCTCGCCAAGGGCAGGACATAAGGAGGACCAACTCCGCCTCCTCCACGGAAGCCTATTTGACATCAAATGCGCCAACCCGCAATGCACTTACATCGACCACAACAACACCCAAGACCCCCTCTGCCCAGCCCTTGCCCCGGCCTCTGAAGACCTCGCAGACCCAACCAAGACTCTGCCACTACTCGACCCAACCAGAAAGCTCCCCGCCATCGACGAAGCAGACCTGCCCCACTGCCCATCCTGCAAAACGGGCCTGCTGAGGCCCGGCGTCGTCTGGTTCGGCGAGGCGCTTGACGAGGCCATGCTCGACGGCGTCGACGCCTGGATCGAGCAAGGGAAAGTCGACCTCATGATCGTCGTCGGCACGTCGGCGCAGGTGTGGCCGGCCGCGGGGTACATTCTCAAGGCGCACGCGGCCGGGGCGCGGGTGTGTACCGTCAACCCCGAGGCCGAGGATGAGGGCCAGATGGGCAAGGTGAAGAAGGGGGACTTTGCGTTCGGGAGGGACGCGGCGGAGGTATTGCCGTTGTTATTGGAGCCTGTTATTGGAAAGATGAGAGCGGATGGGCGGACGTATACGGAGGGTTGGAAGGCTGAGTAGAATAGACATGAATGCGGTTTTCGCTTATTTCTTGAACTGGTTGCAGAGGATGGATCAATGACGAAACGTTGCGAGGATAAATAGTTCTGTTGAGCGTTCTTTGGTCTTATATGCCACTGCCAACCAACTCTTTGAGCCATCCGAGTATGCCGCGATGGACTGTAGCCAACCCCAATCTTTTGTGACTTTCTGGGTCCAAGAGAGAGCTCCCAAAAGTGGCCAAATAAAGGCCACAGGGGAAACACATTCCAGTAAAAATGAGACAAGGTCCGTGATTTTATTGTTTCAAACCCCTCAAGACATAGACTTCTCGCGACATCAGTGACTGCTTCATTATGGGAGGAGGTGGGTATGTTGCAAGTTGTGGATAGTGGCCTCAGAATATTGGATATCTCAATAGTGCCACAGCAAGTGTCAGAATTTTGTGCCTGAATTTTATTGGGCAGTTGACTCGTCATTAAAAAGAGCTTCTAAGGTGTTGAATTTCGTACCAGAGCGGCCAATCTGGTGGTACAATAACTCTCATCGTGGACTTCAAGTGAAGAATGATACTTCAGCCACAAAAAGGCAATGACCGATATCCTCGATTACGACACAGTGCCTGTTTAATTCATAAACTGTCATTCTGGAGACGTGTAGTCAAAATAGGGTACTCAAGCAGGCACAATGGCCCAACTTGCAGCTCGTCCTCGCCAGCGGCTGCCCGACAGCAACATACTAAGGTAAGCCCCCGCCAGGAACGAGAACACCATCCTTTTCCCAGGTCCCAGAAGCCCGGATTGACTGCTCTAGAGTACCTCATGCTTCACCTGGTCTCCATCGGGAAGGTCAAGTCAACGTTCCTTGTCAAGCCCGCAGAGACATGCCGTGGGGTGTGGGGGCTCAGCGAGACAACCCCTCGGTCAGCCGTGGGATGAGTGAGTCCTGGCAGGGTCCTCCGCATATGACCTAGGTTTCACAGTCCTACGTAGGAGGTACGAAAAGCCCTGGTACGAGGCATGGCCTTGACAGGCTAGTTGGAAGCCAGAAATCATATCAAAAGCTATGGAAAAGCTAGAGGAGTGAAATGAAGTAGTGCGGTAATACTCAAATGAGGCTGACACATCTCGGAGGAGGAGTCGCAGCTATATAACTGAAGTTGCGGGATACTTACAATGATAGAAGAAGAGAAAAGAGACAAGACGCACGCCAAATCTTTGGCACTACAGCACCGCCGAGAACTCGACGGGAAGCTGATTATAGAATCGTGCGTTGGCATTTGACAAGCAGTAGGCGGGAGCTGCCGAGAGTAAGCGCATCGTATATCAGGCATCCATACATCTTCAAAGAGAAATGAGGAGACAACAAGAGAGCCTGGCTATTACAAAACGAGGTTCAGAGGGGCAAGGAGAAAACAAGATCTTGTCTCTTCAACGCTTTGTCTAGACGACCACTCTATGATCGGCAAGCCATTACCATAGGTTGGGTCCACTGTTGGTCCCATCATAGCTGCAAGACACCTGAAGATTCTTCCCATCATTGAGTGGACATTCGCGCGGCATATAGCGGCTTAAGGACGAGTGGTCTTCCTGGACTTCCAAGACTTCTAATGACACTAAAACGATGGGAATAGCCCCTGACGACTACACGGAAATCTATACCCAACCGGAGGTAACAGTGATCGTTCTCCGCTCGCCTTATAATCCCAGCGAGTAGAATCACAAACTGACCAAATACGGACGAGAGTGATGCCAGCGATGTTAGGCTCCGTGGAAGGTCAAAACGTCAGGATTCGCACCGCATGACGCCCCGGCCCCGGATTTTCAAGCCTGCAGACGTGGCACAGGCGGCTCGCTGCTGATCTTTGTGAGGGCGATGTGGTGCCAAAACCCTGATTCCACCCGTTGAAGGCTTGAATGCCGGGGCCTGTGTTGTGTAATATGATTGGGTTGCCATCTCAAGATGCCCGATTTACATGACGACATGAGATTTCTTGCGAAGCCGAGATAAATGCGAAGGAAGCCATTGACATAATGACGGGCATGATTCTCCATCAATCATAGACAAGGGAGAATGTAATATTCCAGGCCATAGGGTGTGAAACACGACGTCGATGAAGGCGACATATCGTGCGGCTGAAGAGCAGACTGTAATCCGCGGGGAACAATATCAGGGTGCTGTCAAGCAAAGTGCGGGGAAAGCTGGTCTTCTCTCTGGGAAGGGGGGCTGCCCGGTGGTGGCGATGTGCCGTTATCCGTCGTGATGGGCAGTCTGAGTGAGTCTCGGGGTGGAACAGGGGGAAAGGTTGTGCGGCGCAGCTGCAACATCAGCGAGACTTGCTGGCAACGACGTCTGCCACACCATGTGGGCGGAGTCCTGCTCCATTCTTGAGGGGGAGACATTTGGTGGTCAGCAGACACTTGCAACTATTCCCGAAGGCGCTAACGACAGTTATCAGACGCTTGACCGGCGCAACTGGACGAGCGGACAAACACTGTAGAAAAAGAAGACGAAATGCACTGTCGATGGTGGCATGAGGAAAAGGCCAAGACATCGGGCACAGCTACAGCTCTTCCATAAGGTCACGGGGGTCCGTACTTGCAACTGGAGGACGGCCGACGCAGGAATATGGATCCGTAAGCAGAATAGAATACTAGGTTCACCGTCATCTATGCGCTGATGATGACAGGACCTTGCTTTCTACAGTCCCAAGAAGTGGGAATGAGTGGTGGATGAGAATGAAGTTGATGCAGAGTAAGACCGCAAGACCTGTAAGACTCGGCACGCGACCAAAAGCAGGCAGGCAGAGAAACACTGCCACCGACAGACAGTTTCGATCTAAGACGGATACATGTCGTCTGAACGCACGTCGTAAATCATGAGGGCTGCCTTACCGCCTTGAGAAGCTGGGAATCGTCCATAACAAGGGGACCCCTCAAACGAGTTGGCACCTGGCTTTCCGGGGGAGCTGGCACGTTGGCTAGCGTGGGGGTTAGTGTTGTCTAAAGTCTGTCGATCCGTCCAACATCCGATGGCACCAAGGTTGTTCTCACTCATGAGTCGTTACGCTTGGTCCTCTCACAATTCGATTTGGACGTTTGCAGGGCGCTTGAGGAAACGATGGCTTGGAAAACTATTCAGAACACATGACGAAGACAGTTTCCCAATCTGGAAACTGAACGGTGGAGCCATCTTGCAACCTCGAGGTTCCATGTCGTAGCAAGGTACCTCAAAACCATCGACTGCATGATGGGCTAGCCTTCGTGTGTGTGCATGACTTGCAGCGGTGTATTGTGTCCGATGCTGGTTGCTCACCCCGTGCTTCGATCTTCACTTCCACCCCTCCGAGAAAAAAGTGTCCATGAAACGCATTCGACTTGTTGACTTGAAGGTATTGACCAGGCTATTCTCAAACTGTTTATTCTCTGATCTTGAACCCTGTTCATAACACATGAGCTCATACGACCTCCGCCACGAAACAGCGAATAGAAAGTCCTTGACGCTCTCAATGAGGCAGATCAGAATCAGTCGGTGGGGACAAGCGACGATGTTGCTTTTCGTCCATGCGCAAAGATGCGTGAGATGCATAGACAATATAAATATGATTCGGTAGAAAACGACGGCTGAGGGAGAAGGGCTATGCTTTTCGATATCACGCGTGGGATTCGTGGCGCGGAATGATTCCTATATGATTCGGAATAGGATGAAGCAGCTTTGATGGCATAGGTGACCTGGAGGAGACAGCAGCAAATCTCTCTTTCCCACACACTCTCTCATTCTCTCTCTCACTCACTCACTTTTAGGCTTACGTGAGCAGATGCCAATCGGCGACTCACAATTCATCGAAGGCTTTCTCAACAAAACATCATTCCCTAATGAGCCTAAAGCAGACGCTCATTGCCTCGCGGCATCCCTATTCAGAGCTCGGTTTGCCTCTTTCTAAAGATTCGTTGTTTACCATACAGGTCAAGCAGATCTTTCACATAAAGATTGCTGGCGCAAATGCAGCAAAATCTTTCCTTCTTCGAATCGGATCGTAATTTATTCACTGCTGATATCGGTTGAGGCCATGAGCGTCGGCCGAAACGCCGTGTCGTCCTCCAACATCAACTCATTTGATGGGACTTGAATCGAGGTAAAAACAAGACCAACACTTGAGAAGGGCGCCGTTTTAATACCGAGCCACATGAGTGATAACCGAACTGCTTGCGGCTGGTCGCAAGGTCTTTCATGGCTCATTTCTCACAGATTGTATCGGGAGGATGGTCCCTTAGATCTGGAGGTTATTCATCTACCCTCCAAGACTATTCTGGTGTGAAGGTTAGCGGGATGGTATTGCCGGCTTGGAATGCTCGATTCTGCAGGTGTCCAAGGAGGCAACTTGGAGATCAAGGGCCTTTTTGAAGCTAACCCCCACGTCGAGCGGCGTAATACCCCAGAAGACGTATCTGGCTTGGGTTCAGCCATCCCACCTTCATCTCTCCCACCAGCAGATGCCGGTCTCGCGTCTTGCATGGCTAAGCAGCGATCCTGCCTTTGACTCCACGCACTGTGTCGCGAAGCCCTGGTCTAGACACTTCAGTCTCTCCGACATCCCGGTTCTCTGCTGCAGTTCTTCGTGCTACTTCGTTTGGCCAGTCGCGATCCTTGCTGGTCAGTTCGGAATGGCCTGTTTGCCCATGACTTTCCACATGGTGCGTCTTTTCCTTGAGTCCGAGAGTGAGAAGGACCTTGCTCGTATGCAAGCGCCGGTTCATCCGTTGGAGGCCCGCATCATTCTTTTCATCTCGGGCGACGCTGACTTACGAAACGGACGAGCCGCCACAATTACGAAGTAACCTGTGACGCCACTGGTCTGTTGCAAGACTACTATCGATATGCCACCCTTTGATGGGGGTCACATCATCCCTAGCTGCCTTCCTTCTTTTCCTTCCCTCCGATGATAAAAGGCCTCCTTCCCACTCCTCCCCGTCTTCCTCGGCTTGTTGAACGACCTCTAGGATCTCCATGGACCAAGATCGGCACAGCATATACTATATTCAGTACAGACCTCATCATCTTACTCTAATTTCCCGGGTTTGATTTACAACTCTGCCACGCTTCGTGTATCCTACGTCGTGCTTCCTGTCGTCTTACCTGAAAGAAGTCTTCTGCTACAATCTCCCACAACAGTCATGGCCCCTCACCAGGATGTCCCCTCGCCGGCGGGTAGTTTCACAGCCGGCTATAGCAGAATACCTTTCAACCCTAATACTTCTTCACATCTACACATCGGAAGTCTGACTGCGGCTGAATCAAATTCACCTCTTAGCAGCTCATACGACAGCGCATCACTTGGCGCAGATCTGCAGGAGGCCCGGCCGCTTGTTCCCGGTGTCTACGTACCTACCATGTGCTTCTTCGAGCCGGGTACGGAAAACGTGGACGTCAACACTGTTGCTCGCCATGCAGTACGACTTGCTCAAGCGGGTGTGACCGGCCTGGCCACCCAGGGCTCCAACGGAGAAGCAGTCCATCTTTCACACGCCGAGCGTCAACTCGTCACGGCAACAACACGACAGGCTCTCAATGACGCCGGTTTCTCTCACATGCCCATCATCGTCGGCTGCGGAAGCCAGAGCACACGCGAGACGATACAATACTGTACCGAGGCCTGGGCTGCTGGTGGAGACTATGCCTTGGTGCTTCCTCCGTCATATTACGCTAGCCTCTTTGCTCCGTCATCGGAGACCATCTTCGAGTACTTTCATACGGTGGCTGATGCATCACCGATTCCTCTCATCATCTACAACTTTCCTGGCGCAGTGGGAGGCATGGATCTGTCCTCCGACGTCATTGTGCAATTATCTCAGCATCCCAACATCGTTGGCGTTAAGCTTACATGCGGAAACACGGGCAAGTTGAACCGCGTTGCTGGCGCGACGAGGAAGCTAGCAAAGAATCCCAACTCGAAGACCCCGGAGTTCCTCGTCTTGGCAGGTTCAGCCGACTTCTCTATCCAGGCCTTGGTAGCTGGAGGGCATGGCATCCTCGCAGGCCTGGCCAACATCGCCCCCAAGGCTTGCATCAGAACCATTGAGCTGTTCCAAGAGGGGAGACATGGAGAAGCTCAGGATATGCAAGAGATCGTCTCACAAGGCGACTGGACAGCGATCCAAGGTGGTGTTGTGGGCGTGAAAGCTGGCCTTCAGGCGTGGCTGGGCTATGGTGGTGTGGCCCGGAGCCCATTGCCGAAGCCCACGGCCGAGCAGATGAAGAAGTGGAAAGAAGGATTCCGTGAACTAGTCGTTCTCGAGAAGTCGCTATGAGACCAGACGTCTACTTCGGCACTGGTTTGGTGTTCCAAACTGAACAAACACACACCCCCGAGCCTTTACTTGGTTCTGAGGAGATTTGAATATGGATGAGATTATGGGCTTCCGGATTTGCATGAAGGGCTCTCTTGGTGCAGGAACTTGGCTTAGTTGAGATGATCATTGGCGTTCCACTTAGCAGCCTGCTACAGACAGGTTTGCCTCATTGTCTATCTCGGTTGAGCGAAAAGCTGTATTGCTGAAGGCAAAAAGTTGTTCACTTAGGTTCCACATTATACAATGTTTGATATCATAAGCATACCGCTGGGAAATATGAGATTCAACTAAGTAGCTAACCTATTGACATGATGAAAATTTTTCAATTGCTCGCACATCGTGTATCGTGATCGCCAATAGCCACGATGCTTGTGTCTTTCCCCGAAAAGTTGCCACAACACGTGATCCATGGCACATGAAGGGGCATGTGAAGGCATGCATCAAAGACGACGGTTCTTCCCTAGCCGCTGAATAACCTGATGTCTGCCACGTCAGAGCGCCTCGTACACCTCGTGCAGCATGAAAGTCGCCTCGCTCAGGAATAAGACATCGTATTTCTCAGCCAATGCATTTCATCTCCATCATCCAGCGCTTCTTCTAAAGTGCCTCCGAGAGCGGTGAAGTGAAGAAACGCAGAAAAGGGAGGAAACTCAGTCACGGCGTGGCTTCGCATGGTGACACCAACCGGCTGTCTGCATCTCGGAAGGACGGCATCATAGCGCAAACGGAAACTGATGGTTCTGCTCGTGATACAGACAGAGGTTGTCGCCAGCACAGGTTCGTTCAGGCTACAAATCAGCGCCAAGAAGGAGACGCGAAATAACGCTCGTATTAGGGGCCATAGCAAAGCCGCATCGACGGCAACACTGACCGCTCCGTTTATACTGTTTTCCCAATCTCATGGTCTGCCAGCAGTCACCCGTAGCGTTTCCGGATTCGAAAACCCGGAGCGGCTGAGGTTTCCCGCTTCAGGATGAGGTCTGTCGTCAACATTACCCAAATGAGCAAAGACTGTCCAAAGGAGAGAGCCCCCACAGCGCGGTCTTTAACGATGTCGTGATACAAACACGCGCCGTATCTATTTTGGTATACTATCGAAGATTTAGTCCTACGGTTGTTCCTAGATGCGAAAGCTCACTCAGGGTCGTCACCAGCTGATCATGCATCCACATCCTCCATCCGAGGTAGGCAGAGGAAGAGTAACATCGTCGAACATCGTCGAACATTGTCACCATGTCGCGCAACGGTACGTGGCGGCAGGTGCACGAGCATGATGAGTTTCCCACATTCTGGGTTATGATACAAGGTTGGTGACAGCACGGGATCATGGATCGGATCCGACGGCTTTTCTCGTTTGCTTCGAAATCTTGGAAGGGGCCAACTTGACTGTTCCATATGAAAGGATAAAATCGTGCCGAAATCCCGATTTTTTTGAAAAAAAGGCCTTTGCCTCCTTCATGCATCTCGAATTGACTTGACGTGCACTGTCTCAACACACAATGGTTTCGACTTTGTCACTTGTTATTGGCATCCTTGTGGCCGCGTCATGTACCATCTCGGCGCAACAGTACCCTATTGTTGGAGTGAGATACGGTATCAATATGCGGACTGGTGAAATGCCAATAAGGAGGAACATCAACACCATACACGAAGAAGCCGGCCCGCAATGGTAAGACTAGAGCTTGATGATAGACACCATCTTTCTCACAAACGCTTAGGGACTTATACATTAGAGCCCTCACGGCTATGCAGGATGCGAACGAAACCGATCCCATATCGTATTTTCAAGTCGCTGGTTCGTCATCGTAAAGTCCCTTCATCATCAGAACATTCTACTGACAGTCGCAGGCATTCATGGACAGCCGTATATGGCCTGGTCAGGAGGGGGACCACAGACCGGGGCGAATGCTGGATATTGCCCACATAACGTACGTCTTCACAGTCCGGCAGCGCAATTGTTTTTTCTTGCTAATAGTCAACAAGCAAGGACTGTTTGGTACTTGGCATCGCGGATATCTCTCGCTTTACGAGGTTCGTGCGACCGATCACCCAAACATGAAGAATCAATGAGTGAGTGAAAACTGACTACTTGTTCCAGCAAGTGCTAGTCCGCTACGCCAAGCGTATTGCGCTCTCTTACCCGGAGTCTCATAAGCGAGAATACGTTGAAGCTGCGGAGAGTCTGCGCGTTGCGTACTGGGACTGGGCCGCGGACTCCCAGGTTCCGCCCGTGACGGCGATGCCGACAGTTGTCATCAAGAGGCCTGTGGGCGGCGCCTTGCAGCCACTCGCGGTGCGAAACCCATTCTACCGTTTTACTTATCCGAAAACGGCTCTCAATGGAAGATTCGGCAGCTTTGATGGAAAGAATTACACGAAGCGGTGTGTTGGAGACGGCGAAAGCTATCCCGATACAGCGAACGCGAGGCTCAAGGGATACGGCTTGAAGGAAAAGGTTGTAAGTTGATGAACACAATTCCAAAGAGCAAGCTTGTGGCGTTTCAAGTTGGTTGTCTTTACTGATTAGCCGCAGTATAATGTCTTCTTGAAGGCAACCTCCTTCGATGAGATGGTCACTGCCCAGAATGAAGGCGCCAACTTTGAAGGGCCTCATGGAGAAGTCCATGTCGGGGCTGCCTGCGGCCAGGATCTCCTCCATCTATCAACCTCGGCATTCGAACCACTATTGTAAGTTCTTCCTCACCCTTGTGACGCCAGGTCTGATTCGTCTCCCAAGCTGGCTTCATCATGCCAATGTAGATCGCCTCATTGCCTTCTGGCAAGCTCTTCACTTCGAAAATGCCACAATGCATTTCTCCTATGCCTCATCCCAGATGTTCGCCACGCCATCCGGGACCACCATCAACCCGCAGTACCCCTTGTGGCCCTTTACTGGAACGGGCGGTGGTCCGCTTACCAGCGAATCGGTCACGCACGTCCGTGACTGGGGGTATACGTATGCACCGATGAGGTTCTGGGATCAGACACCAGGAGACGTTAAGATGGCGGTCAGTAGGACGGTAAATAGCATCTACGGTCCTCAGAAGCAGCAATCTTCTTCCATGAGGGGCAAGCGGCGCAAGATGGTCCCGATAAGGCAGTATGTCGCCAAAGTCGAAGTTGAGAGAAATGAGCTGGACTTGCCTTGCCAAGTGCAGCTTTTCTTGAAAGGCTCGATGGCGGGCTCTTTGACGTTACTGGATATGCCCAGGCAGGGGAAAAGCTATGATGAGATTCCTCTGAATCGAGGTATCGACGCCGCTGGCCTGCGTGGTCTCTCGGTAAGCGGGATTCTTGGAGGGATTGCGGATGGGCTGGAAGTGGTCATGTGAGTACAACCATCGCACTTAATCCCCATATGACGCGTAGTTTCAACGCCATGTGAGACTGATAAGCTTCTCGACAGTTGGATGGCACAGCTACGCCGTTGGAACGTGTCCCAAGTTTGAAAATTGAAGTTGAAGACCAAGAGATCGTTCCATCGGGCTCTACGAACCAACTTCCGACGCTGGGTACTAGGCGGAGTCGGCCCGCAATGCTACGACCTCTGTCAGTTGACTACTAGATGGCTAATTTGATTGCTAAGAGAAGTCTTTTTCTTGCGCACACACATACATATGTTCGTAATCTTCGGGTCAATGTTTCTCATGAGTGAAAGGGATGCCGGTACTTCTGCTTGCCGCTTTCGGTCCGGCGTTTAGTAACAATACGAGGCGCATTTTGTACTTAGATAAGGTAGTGATAGTGAAGTATACACCAACAAGCCCTGTCAAATGGTTCGGGTTTGAGACATGCTCTGCCATTTTGTATTCATGTGCCTGAATGATCTGTCAGATGACATTGGGATTTCCGCCCGCTTGGGGGTTGTATGCGACACATCTGCTCGTTTCAAGAAGCACGATGTGCACATAGGCAATGCGGAACGTCGGACGTGAGAACAAGTCAAATATGGTCACCTAAACACAAGAACACTAAGCCCTGGTATAACGAGACCCAAAACCAGGGCGAACGAGCGAGGTTGTACTTAACGGCCCGAAAGGCGCGTCTGATGTGTCTTACGGGCGCTTAAGTAGACGTCAGTCGGTGAGGGTGGTGATATTCTTGCACGTATGACTGGAGACTAGGGCTGCGGCATGAAGGTCCTTGTTCATATCAAGGTCAAGACCAGTCAAATTCTAGTTGGAGACGAGAAGATCGCCACACGGAGGCGAGAATGGGACTAATAGCTATCTACACATCCTGTCCACCCATAAGCCACAGCGCGCCACAACTCGCCTGAAGCAGCATGCCACAGACGAGGAACACCTTACCCGCTTGTCCATCGCTGCTGAACATCAAGCTAACAACCACAAAGACATTGAGCGGGATTCTCAGGACGCCGTACACCTGTGCCCTGACACCGTCATCGACGACTTTCCCCTTGAGGTATCCCATCGAGGGGAAATACAACCCGACGCAGGCTTCGAACAGGCAGAAGAGCCAAAAGGTGACTTGCTCCGCGCGAGGAGCACCCGTTCCGAGAGCGAAGAACACGGCGTTGGCGGCGAACAGGACCGATAGCAGCAGCCGGGATGGCGTGGAGACGAGGGCGAGCAGGCGGGGGTACAGAAGAGAGGCGAGGAGGGTCGAGGCCATAAAGGAGGCGAAGATGATGCCGTATGGCAGTGTCTCGGGTGAGGATGAGGCCGAGACGAGAACCGGGGACCAGAGTACTACAAAGAGATACATTGAACCTTCAAACATGGTTGAGGCGAGGCCGATTGTGAGAACGCGCTTGTCCGTCATTGTGGCCCAAAGACTAGGCTTGTTGACGTTGGACCTTTCCGATGAAGAGGCTTGACCTGCCGAGCCATAGTTCTCGTCCTTCACACCCAGTCAGTAAGAAAATAGCAATAGTATACGATTTGATGTTGCAACGTACCCATTGACTGGCAATAACACCAGCAGCAACGACCAGCAGCCCGACACTGGCCAAAAATGGCGACTTGCGGGTCCCAGTCACGGAGACGAGCCATTCGCTCACAACACCGCTCACAATCGCGACAATGCTGTTGACAGTGCTCATCAGGCCGAACGTCCGCGAAAGGTCCATGCCCTTCTCGCTCAGACGACGGGCATGGAAATCCGTCACCATCCAGCTCTCAAAGACGCTGAACAGGAGACTAGTTCCCAGACCGCCGAGTACGCGGCCGATGAAGAGCAACGGGACACTGGGTATCGTGGTGAGAATGCAGGAGAGCGCGTATGCGGCGCAGAAGAAGAGGCAGCTGGCCTTGCGGCCGTGGCGGTCGGCTAGTGAACCGATGAAGTAGCCGGCCACGGCGCCGGAGACGAAGCCGGTTGTGAAGAGCGTCGGCACGAAGTCTGCCGAGATTTGATGCTCATTCTTGTAAAGAGAGTAGAGGAATGGCCCCTAATGTTGCCATGTCAGGAGGTTCGATCCTTAGATTCAGAGATTGCATGTGAGGGGCTAGCTACCTGTAGCCAGTCTGAACCCATTACGAGGGCGTAGACGACGTAGAAGGCCCATTGAGAGCCTGTCTGCTTTGACTTCTGTTGTGAACTCTTCTTCGCATCTTTCTTGGAGACATCAGACTTGTCTTGACCTCCCGAAGCGAAGAGAACGCCGCAGGCGAGGAGAAGGCCGGCGAGGTTGATCTGGTAGATGTCTAGCATCGTGGAGGATACCTAGCGGGTGACTGGGTCCTAGATTCTCAATCTTTGTACGGACTACACTGGCAAACACGTCGAGTGAGGGATACTAAGTAGGGTATGAAATGAAGCCAGCTTCGATATGAGATTGTGGTAAGAGTCGAGATTAAGAGCGAAAGCCCCATGAGGTGGAGTTGAAGTTGTTAAACTTCGAAGTTCCAGGTGTCCTTCTCCATCTTGCACGGGGTGATTTTCCGGGGGCTAAGCTGGAGCATTGAGTGTTTCGGGCGCACAACCTCCAAAGGGGCTCTTCCAAACGTCTCGTTTTAGTTCATTGAGTTCGTCTGATGTTCGTGAGCCTGGTGTTCGGACGATTTTTTTCTCTCTCGTGTGAACTCGTAAACTTATGTAAATCCATTGTCATATTGTCAGTCTGACTACGTGGACTGAGTCATATTGAGCCACTTACAAAACGTAGAGGGGGATGAGAGAAAGCTGCCAGAAGCTGCGAACGAGACAAGAAAGCGACCTAGACAGGAGTGTCCGGGGCCGTGCTATCCCTGTAACTGACACGAGCTAGGGGCCTCACAGTGTGCGGACCCTCAGGAAGATCACTCCGTAGCTTCAAACAAAATGCTTTCCGGAAACATTCTATAAAAACCTCGCGTATTTTACCATCTTCCAGACCTGGTGTCATGAGGATGCAATAAAAGCACCCAGTTTCACTTCACCCTAGTGATATATCAGTCCTTGCTTTCCTGGTTTGCCTCGCGAGCCTGACCTCCTATCACTTGTCATTCTTTTCATATCGCTTAGATATGTAAGACTTCGGTCTCAACCCTTCGTTGGCTTTCGGCTATATCAACTCATCGAACAAGTGCCGTCCAGTATCCCGGACGGACCCAATGATGAGGCATCTACGGAATCAACCAACGCGATGTACAGCGCTGCATTTGACGTCTGGCAGAGAAAAATCAAGCAAGCATGCGTAGTAGGGAGATTGAAAAGAAGGGCACGGTCAGTTGTGCCGTATCTCATCCATTTAGCCCCCAAGAGCCGTGCCCATATTCTGGCTTGATCCAAACGATGCAATGGAGCTAACCACTCTATGTAACGTTCATTTTATTCCCGTGATCTTCCACGCAGGATCGTCGAACCTAGTACCACCTACCGCATAGAGCTCTTGTGCGGGGTCGTGAACTAAACTTTGCTAATCAAGTCGGACGACGTTGCGGCCGGGATTGCCGTGCGGTCATTATGCATGAGGCAAGGCGATGGAAGTAAATGAAAATGAGCTCTTCGGAGACTCGGTCGGTGATCCAGCTTCAACTCTGACACGAACTGCGTAGCTTCGGGTTTGGGTTCAGCCTCTTCTCGCCGGATAACACCCAACGAGCAGACTCTCCTTCTCTCGGGTACTACTTGAGCATCGAATGCCGTTCTAGAAGCAGTTGGTCCATTTCCTCCCAGCGTGCTCTCGTCGCATGTAAACCATGCGCTTCCTCGTACCGCTCATTGCCTTCGTAGTGGCGGGATGTTGCCAATCGTTTGATCCATTAGCCTTCGTTGACCCTTTAATCGGTTCCCAACGCGGCGGGAACGTATTCGCCGGTGCGACACTACCATACGGCCTCGCCAAGGCCGTAGCCGATGTCGACGGGGAAAAGACTGGAGGTTACTCAACCGACGGGAGCAACATCACCGGCTTCAGTATCGTCCACGACAGCGGCACCGGCGGAAACCCCAGCCTGGGCAACTTCCCGCTCTTCCCTCAGCTCTGCCCCGGCGACGAGCTTAACAACTGTAGATTTCGTATCGGGGACCGGGCGACGCAGCATGACGTGAACAAGACCGTCGCCGAGCCGGGCTACTTCTCCGTCGAGCTGTCGTCCGGCGTGAAGGCGGACATGACGGTATCTGAGCACGCGGCGCTCATGCGGTTCAAGTTCCCGAGCGGCGGAAGCGAGCATCCGCTCGTGCTGTTGGACTTGACAGATCTTTGGGCGAGCAGGCAAAACGCGTCGATCAAGGTCGACACGCCTACAGGGCGAATGTTTGGAAACGGGACATTCCTGCCTAGCTTCGGTGCTGGGTCGTACGTGCTTCACTACTGCGTCGACTTCTTTGGCGCCCAGGTCTTTGATACTGGGGTGTGGGTCAATAACAGAGCCGGTAACGAGCCCAAGGAGCTGTTCATCACGAGAGGCTTCAACCTGTTTTACCTCGAGGGCGGCGGCTTCGTGCGCTTCAAAGAACTGACCAACGACACTGTCACTGCCAGAGTGGGAGTCTCGTTCAAGAGCAGTGATCAGGCATGTCGCAACGCAGAGAAGGAGATACCGGATCCGCTGAACAACTTTGATTCGCTGGTGAAGACAGCAAAGGACGCTTGGAGAGAGAAACTGAGCCCCGTTTCAGTCAAGGCAGCTGGCGCAACGGAAGACTTGCAAAAGAGTTTCTGGAGCGGCTTATACCGTAACATGATTTCTCCTCAGAATTACACTGGTGAGAATCCGCATTGGGATAGTCGGATCCCTTACTTTGATTCGTTCTACTGGCAAGTATCCATTTCATGTCTCCAGCTCTCCTTTTCTAATAGTGTGCAGCATGTGGGACAGCTTTCGTGCCCAACACCCCCTGCTTACCGTTATCGATCCAGCAGCTCAAGCGCAAATGATAAACTCCATGCTCGACATCTACAAGCACGAAGGCTGGCTGCCAGACTGTCGCATGTCTCTCTGCAAAGGCTGGACTCAAGGAGGCTCCAACGCCGATGTCGTAATCGTTGACTCCTACGTCAAAAACCTAACCTCGATAGACTGGAAGGTGGCTCTCGCGGCCATAACGAAAGATGCCGAGGACGAACCCCTGGAGTGGTCTTATGAGGGACGCGGCGGCCTCACAAGCTGGAAGACCCTCAACTACATCCCGTATCTAGACTTTGACCCAGTTGGATTTGGTACAAACTCAAGAAGCATCACGAGGACTTTGGAATACTCTTACAACGACTACTGCCTTGCAACCCTAGCTCAGGGGCTAGGGGAGGGTCAGTCACACGACATATACATTGCAAGAAGTATGAACTGGCAGAATCTGTGGAAAGAGGACCAAAGGTCTTTGATCAATGGCACCGACACTGGATTCTCTGGCTTCTTCCAGCCCAAGTACATGAATGGAACATGGGGCTTCCAAGATCCCATAGCTTGCTCGAATCTCGCCGGGTTCTGCTCCCTGACGACAAATCCGAGCGAAACGTTCGAGGCGAGCATCTGGCAGTATCAATTGTTAGTACACTCCAACTTCTTGCGACTGCGGTCTAGCTAATCTGTCTCCAGCATCGTTCCCCACTCCACATCAACCCTCATCGATCTCATGGGCGGCGATGACGCCTTCGTGTCCCGCCTCAATTACTTCCACGCGTCGCCACTAGCCGACATCTCCAATGAGCCCGTATTCCTGACCGTCTATCTCTACCACTACGCCGGTCGGCCAGGCCTCTCAGCGGAACGCATCCACAAATACATCCCCTCGGCCTTCAACTCTTCGCGTGGCGGGTTGCCGGGTAATGACGACTCGGGCGCCATGGGGGCTTTTCTTGCCTTCTCCGTCATGGGCCTATTCCCAGTCGCGGGGCAAAATGTGTATCTCATCACGCCGCCGTTCTTTGAGGAAGTTAGTGTCAAAAGTCCGGTGACGGGAAAGAATGCCACTATCAAATGTATCGGGTTTGACCCTGCGTACAAGAACATCTACGTGCAGAGTGCCAAGCTGGACGGGGAGGCGTATACCAAGAGTTGGATCGGACATGAATTCTTCAGTCAGGGCAAGACGTTAGAGTTGACGCTGGGAGACAAGGAGTCCGACTGGGGGAAGAGTAAAGAGGCAAGGCCACCGAGTTATGTGGCTGTATCAAAGACTTGAGAGTGTGGAGCCGCGCGTGGTATTCGCAGACGTATACTCAGATGCTCATGTTCCGCAGTATTCTCACATGGAATACAACACAATAGCCATCGAGACTCTGTAATTAATTCAATCGGCAACGTTGAGGCAAGAAGCACCGCCTGATGTGTATATGACCTAGTGGTGGAAAGTAATGCCTGGTTTCGGCAAGAGCGCGAGTTCGAATTTGTTGGTCCTACATAAGGCCACAGGCAGGTTCTTTCTTGGACTTCTTTTGGTCTCTTCTTTTACGATTCTCTTTTTCTTACTATCTGCTTCCATGCGTTCTTCTCACCGTCAATCTAGCTACCGCATGCCCGCGGCGTCATGCTCCCAAAACCTCTTGACTCCAAGTCTCGTTCTCGTAGCTCACGCTGCTCTTTGGCGTACTTGCGGTCGATAAAATTAGCACTGTCGTATAGATCGACGGCCTTTGGATCGACGGCGCTGCCGATCGCGTGTTCCTCCTCACTGGCGAACAAGAAGAAGGTGCCGCCGGGGGCGTCATCGCAGCTCATGTGGTGAACCACGATGTTTTCTGCGTCGGCGCAGAAGACTCTCTCGGCAGCTTTTACATCTCGAGCGGCAAGAAGAGCGACTGCCGCGGCTCGTAGGCCGGGCAGGGTAACATGTTGTCTTTTCATTTTGGTGTGTGTTATTTGTTATTTTGTAGTGCTCTTCCCAGGAAGAGTGAAAGGTTCGTTGGTTTTTGGTGTGTAAAGGAGACAGCTTAGGACTCTTCTGGCGAACAAATTGAGTACGATTGACGACGATTCATGGCTAGAAAGATGATTTACAAGAAGCTGAATGGTGAATGGACGGCATTTTGAAGGAAGTCACATTCACCTCTCGGTGTAATTCTCAGATATCCCCCTGATGAGGATCATGTGCTCAAGTGAAGCTAAATAGCGACGAATACGCTTCCTCGGTCATATCATTGATGTAACGCCGAGTGAGGCAGCTTACTATCCCTCACCTTAGCCAGGTGTGATCACACGAAATACTAAGTAAACGGCCAGACTATTGTCAAAATAGTGTCTTTTTTGACGTGATATCCTGTCTTGAAGCCCTTTTCTGTAACCTGT